TACCTGTAAAATGAATAAGGCACAGAACCAAGAGACCAGAGACACATTTGATCGGTATAATCACAGTGTGTGAACTTTGCATTTTTCAGGGCTTCAGTTAAGTTCCTTTATAGCAAAGTTAGGTCTTACTGAGCGTCTCTCAAAGGTAGTTTGACAAGTAACTACCATTGTCAGTCATTTAAGCCTCATATACAAGTACACTCTTGAATGGATACTGGATCGCACTTCAAAACACTTAATTATATAAAAAAAAGTAATGGTTTTCAAAACTTCACTATTAATGAATAAGTGATTCCACCACTTCAAACCAATTTCTAAAATGAGATTAAAAATATTTAAATCGGTTCCTTTCAAAACACCTGCAGTAGCTCAGCTGTGTTTTGACATTAGGTAAATACATGCTCCTATTTTCGAACTGGCTCTTTGAAGAGATCCTATGGTGCATTTTTTTCACAGTGCAATGCCACATCATTTCTCTCCAAAATAGAACCATAGAAAGTTACAACACAGGTCTGGGTTAATAAAACTGTTAAGAAGTCATACCATATAAAAACAAATGACGTATCCTGATCTGCAGAATTATTTTGACTGGTGTGAAAACTATTTTAAAACGTAAAGTAAAATGTGATTGAAAAAGGTAATTATTCTACAAGAGAATTAAGTCAGAATTTGTTTATTTCACCTTCAATTGATTGTTTTTTTTTCAAAAAACACAACTGAAGGGGCTGTTTAGTTTGTGCATCTTTGTTTTGATTGAATTACCTGCACTCTCACCAAAATATGGATATTTAAAATGTACTCGGCTATTTTGCCCAAGATTAAACTAATCTGCTAGGCTGAAGAACCAAAAACTATTAGAACAAAGTTATTGGTGCTCAATATTAAATTTGTAAAACAAATGTAAATTGTTGGAGCGAAGGAAAGATGCAATATAATAAAATCAGTTCAAATTCTGCTCCATATTTTACATGGCTACATATTGCAATTGGTGAGTGTATTATGAATTCACTTTAAGTACCTCGAACACTTTGAGGTACTTATTCACTTTAAGTACCTCGAACGCTTTGAGAAGACAGGTACAACAGATAGAAGCACGACTAGTTATTCACTTCTGACATCAAATACATCAAATTCATGGATTATTATTCTCTGCAATTTTGATTTTACAGAGTGCCCTTTCAACGGAAATTCAGTGGTAAGAACAAGACATTATTTCTATATCAAAATTACCCTTTCAAGCTTTCGTGGTATAGATACTTAAGTTAAAAAGTATTAGAATTGCTTTTGTGTTATAATGCATTAGGTTTTGCCTGACCTACAGCAAGTTTGAGTGGGTGTGCTATGTTTTTGTGTGGGTAGTTTTAAAAGCAAAGCCATTCTCTGCACTCCGATCAACACATGCAAAAAAAAAAACCCAACTGTTTTAATACCACAACAGACCCTGGAATAATTTGAAAAATTCGACTCTTTTGAACCCCATAGGTTCTGGTATCATTTTCCAATGTGAATGACAGCTCGCCAGCTGTGGAAAAGTCTGCGAATAATCCAACACACAAGTCTACACTGTAAGAGACATGAAGCCAAAACACTCAAGACCTCATTAGGATAAAATTCAGAGCATTAATGCAACTAATGATATTTCAATTAAGGCTACATTTGCTCCGTGCCTGCTGTACATACAATTGCATCAAATATTCCCGTGTCCACAACCACGGAACTTATATCTCAATTCTCAATAGTAACCAACTCTACCAGAACTACGGGTAGGTTTGCACAAGAAAAAAATAGTCTCTTTGCCAATTTTCTGCCGTTTTCCTCTCCTAATATGGTCCATCGGGGGAGAAGTTTGGGTTTTTTTCTGCCGCTGGAGAGTGCACACAAACTTAATTCATTCTACTCAATTCTTTATTTAATTCTCAATTGTCCAAAATATTTTATTCACTGTACAGCATCTACTGTGAGATCTGGAGAGATCCTCTGCTGCAATTTTAATGGCATCCTTTGAATTGTAAACTGCGATTGTCTGAAACGTAAGGTATTCCACTTTTAACCTGCCACAACTGAAACTTGTGCAAATTCTGGCGGTAAACATGGTAAAACAGTGAAGTAAACAGTTAGACTTATTTAGTTAGGAGCGAAGACTAAAATGATATAAGGCAGAATATTGTTTAGGGTTCTGCATTTCTATTCACTTAAGAGAGCCACTGAAATATAAATGCCAATACACTGAAGGAATGATGGGTTACATATTGATACAGTGCTAATAACTGCATTTAGTCAGGTCTGGAAAACATGACGGACAGAAACAAATGCACCGATCAGCCTTAAAGTTCAATCAGATCAGGATTTAAGGAACCTAATGTGGTCTGATATCTTTTTTAAGAAAACAGTCTCACTAACAGCTTCAAACACCATTTTATCTCGGATTTAATGTACTGTAAATGCAGAATCTGAACAATTGATTTCATGGCTCTTTGTGAGACTTCAGCAAACTGGTTGCCGTGTTTGCCTACAAATAAGGTCACTCCACAGTAAATCCCGTGAAGCACTATGACGGTTCGCCCCAAAGCGAAAGGCGCTATACCAAATGCAATAATTATTACAATTGAAAGATATTGCAAGGGAACAGTAAAATATTCTCCTCCCTGCCCTAAGCACCAAAACATTTAATAAGCAAGTATTAAATTGGCTAATATTAAACAGCGCAGCTTTATAAAATAAGCTCATATATGATGGAACAGTGGAGTTCTTGAATGACACACTCCATACCTTTTGATTGTGTTTGGAGATTAACCCGACACTTCTTAAAATCTCCTAAAATCTTGAGAATCAAGAGGTTCGTTTTTATGTAAAACCTCTAGGAAAGATGTGATACTTTGCAACACTGTTCTCAGGTTACAACCCAAAAATCATTACACAGCATTACGTTGTAGCCTTATACATTTGCACTAAAATATTATGGCTCACAATGCTATAAATTGATTCAATACTGAAGAATGCCTCAGTTCTTGGACTTAAACATGCAGTGGCAAATCACTGTGCCTGGCATAAAGATGCAAAGTTTGATTATGTTGCTATTAGATTTATACAATACGTATTGTAGATTTATACTGGTAAATGAGAAATAATAGCTATCGCTTAACTATATCATCACTGGAGTCCTATTCAATACATTGGAGCAGAGTTTAACAGGAGTTTTTTGAGGGGCAGTGAAATTAAAATCAGCGCGAGTCAGTAAGCTTTTGACGCTGATTTTATCACCATACAAAATATGTTGTTTTGGTCAATTTGACTAACAGTTGCATTAACCCTTAAGAGAACATTTATAAATATTTAATTTGAATCTTTAAAAATACAGCAAAATGAATTTCTGTAGTTGTAGAATACAATGCAGCACCAGTGAAAAGTCAATTGTAAGTACAATTAGATCTGCGCAATTTTCTAAACCTTCTCGGTAATAAAAAAAAGTAAGAAAGGTTTTCAAATAAAATAGGAAGTTAAGAAAGTATCAAACGGAAGTTCCAACATTACTGAATTCGATTGAGGATACCTAGACCAGCATTCTGATTACCAGGAGTCCAGCGACTCAAAAACAACAAGATTATATTTGTATAGCGCCTTTCACATCGGGAGGACATTCCAAGGCGCTGGACAGTGTAAAGCATTTCAAACCCGAGCTGGGGTCGGGGGGGGGGGAGAAGGGAGGGGAAGGGGGGTGGCATGGTCGAAGAGGAGGGTCTTGAGACGGGACTTGAAGGAGGCTAAGGAGGGGGTGAGGCGGAGTGATTGGGGGATGGAATTCCAGAGCTTCTCATAAGTAATTTCCTGTTAAAGATGACACCTAGAGAGCGAGGTAAACAGATTTCTGTTGCTACCAATAGTAAGAAGGTAAAGGCTACAGATGATTAAGCGTTTTTCCAATGGAGGAAAATGACCTGCAGCACTAATTTACAAGGCAAAGTGAACTGCCCTTGTTCTCATTTCAAAAATGTTTTACTTTTCCTACACCGAAGGCACTGTTTGTAGTTCGGCTAAGAGTCACAGTGCTAGTGCTGGGGTCATAGACCTCCAGTTGCTGAAGTATCCATACTTCATGTCTGCTCCTAAACAGCAAATACCAGCAGGATATTCACCTATGAATAATCACGCCTATGCTCATCTGATATACAAACATTCCAGCAATGGTCACTGGATAGAGCTCAGGAGCAGACAATGGACTTATTTTCTCCCTCTCTAGCTCAGAGGTCATTGAGGCTATTTGTTTGCAGCCTGGCACTGTACTACCCTCGCTTAGATCAGCTAACTCAGCACAAAATGGAAAAAATCTAAACACTTCTGTTTTGAGCTACGTGGGATGGCATTTTGACCCACTAAGACGGAGTCTTATAGTGAACGGAAGCCATAATTAGTTTAATCACTATACAAAAGCCCTTTTGAACTCAGTGACAAGTAATGGCTAATCTCAACTTAAAAAAAACAATCACCGTGTGGATAGGCTGGATAGAACATAAGGTACAGAACATTTCTCTGTGAGCAATAGCCAGCTGGTAAGAACTAATCATGCTCTTATTTGGCAGATAATCATCCCAGTCATGAAACAGCTAGGTTAGCTGTAGTATGAGGCAGGCAAGCAATTTTGTCTCAAATGATAATTAAATGAAAATTTTTCTATCTTAAAGGCGGCCCATTTGAGAACGAATCTTAATAGTATTTTATGCTGTAATAATTAAAAATGCTCTTTCCCACAGAGATTTTCAAACATTTTCCTATTAAGTTTTTGTGGCTCGACTGTAATGAAATACACCTGCAAAGAACCTGAAATACACCTATTTCATAGTGGTTTTTGATCAAACTAAGGACAAATGTGTTTTTATTCTCATATTAAAAAAATGCTTCAATACCCCGAGAGGGTTAAATTAATACAGAAGATTCATGAACTTTAATGTATTTTGGACACCACCTTCTTTCAAGGTTGATATACATAAATAATTAAGTGTCAGTAAAGGTGGAACATTTTACTAGCAAAAAAATCTACATATGAAAGACTGGAGTGATTTTTTTCATTTGACACATCTTCTTAGGTTTCATTTACAGCACACTATAACCTTAGCTAACTAGTTTTGGAAGCACAGTACGTAGAGGTATATTTGTATTTGAGTCAGCCATTTGCACCAAATTGGTCCTTAATTTGTTGGCTGCTCCAATACTTGGGGGTAACTTGGAAATTATTTCTGGCAAGGAATTATGCGCTTCTGATGCACGTTTGGGAAGAATGGTCTTCTCCAAGCTGGGTGTTGGTTTGGGGAAGCGTCTAAGTAGCCATGAGTGTCTTGAGGCCTGAAAAGGTGTCATGCGATTACTTGGTTCCCACTCCAGACATTTCTTTAGGAAGTCGATGAAAAACGGGTCGTCGCACCCCTTCAGGGCTGTCATCCATTCTCTGCTGGCTGGTGTTCCTCGCAATTTACCTTTCTTAGAGTGACCGGCACTAAGAACACTTGAACCATCAGAAAGGGTAGTAACGCTGCAATAGCGAGGCTGATTCTTGGAGTTGTAAAAGTTCTTGGCTCTCTTGGACAGATCCAGCAGCCTTTGAGGCGGCAGCCCCAAAAGTTCCGTAATGCAGGCCAATTGATCAGCTTCATCTTCCCCTGGGAAAAGAGGGTACCCAGTGTACAGTTCAGCAAGGATGCACCCAAAGCTCCACATGTCAATGGGTAACCCATAACGAGTGCCAAGAATAATCTCAGGAGCTCGATAAAACCGTGACTGAATATACGTGTAGATACGTTGATGCTCATAACAGCTGGAGCCAAAATCGATTACTTTGATGCCACTACGGCCTTGCTGCTTCAGTAAGATGTTTTCTGGCTTCAAATCGCAATGTATGATGCGATTCTTTTGCAACGCTTCCAGGCACTGTAAGATGGAGTGGGCAAACTTCCGCAACAGCTGAAGGCTGAACCCCTGGAACTTGTTTCTCTTGATGAGTTCGTAGAGGTTCATGCTCAGCAGTTCAAAAGTGATGCAAATGTGATTGCGGAATGTGAAGTTTTCCAGCATATGGATAAGGTTCATCTGACCGTTTTTGTCCTGTTTCTTCAAGTGTTCCAGGATTCGGATCTCCTCAGCAGCCTGCCTATGGAACCGTTTCTCATTCCGCACAATTTTCAACGCTAGATGCTGGCGCATTTTGTGGTCATACACTTTGGCTACTTGGCCAAAGCTTCCCTTCCCAATAATTTTAAGTATCTCGTACCTATATGCTATATGGTCATGAGGAACAAGTATGTAGCATGCTTGATCATCATCAAAACCATTATTGTTTGATCCACTCAATATACCATGCCTCTTCTTTGCATTTAAACCCAAAAAGTAAATATCAGGATAATTGAAGATCTCCTGATGCTCAAAGGATGTCAACTGGTGCATGTGCTTTTTCATGGCTATGGAAGGTGCTGCAGGCATTCTTCCTTTCGGCCCAGTTTCTTCTTTAGCACTAACTATACATTCGGGACTCTTTCCTTTACCGGCTTTACAAGAAGATGTACTGGAAACAGTGTTTATTCGCCGGTTTCCAACATCCTCAAACAGATGTTGGACTTTCACCTGATCTCGAGATCCCACATGGTCCTTCATTGTGGTCTTGCCTGCCTAAAAGTTGACAAAAGAAAGTCTAATTATAGTGCATGTGTCATTTCACATTAAAACGTATACTAACCACTACCCTTAATGTCTTTTATCCACCATAAAAACAGAAAACTTTCTGTAATTCTAAATGTAATTAGATAAAATCGGGGAATTACAATACTTATTTACACAAAGCTTCAAACTGTTTCCGTTGTGGTTTTGTGAAAAGATAAAAGTAATCATGCTTAAAGTGAATGGAAATATTTAAATGATTATCAGATGATCAAGTAATATTTCTGCAACCAATCCCAAAAAATTATTTAAATTTCCCAGTTTTCTGAAGCCACATTGTAAACAAAAGTATTCTGCACATCTAAACGTTCTCAGTCACCAGCACAACACTTAGCACTAGTATCTGGAAAAAACAGAGGCAATTTCAAAGTAAAATTTGTGCACCAGCCTCCAGTGTGTCAGTACAGTAAATTTCACATTGTTTTCATAGCAACGCCTGAATCCAATTAGGACACATGCCGGACAGTTTAGGCACAAGACATGTGCAGACATCAGCTCCACTTGCTTCTAAAATAGCACCAAAGTAATTGCAGTGGGCTATAAATGGAGCAGACGATACAAACGACAAAGATCAGTGAGGGCATACTGGAGTTGAGTATGATCCTGCTATAACCCTCTACAATAATTTGTTATTTGATTCATCACCCAAATTAGTTCTTTATTTCAAAGGGATATCAGAATTAAAAGCATACTAAAATACCAGTTTATTAAATATGGCAATCAACTTATAACACAGGGGCACAAATACTTTTGAATGATAAGAGTTGAAACACTCTTTGTCTGAATCCCCTCCGAATATGTACAAGTCTAGCTTAGAAAGATGAGTGGCAGCCTCTACTGTCAACATTAGAGCAGCTCCAATCTTGAGCAGTATTTAAGAAGCCTGGGAGTAGTAATCACCTCCCTTGCAGTTCGCCTGTTCCACCAAGGAATAATATGGCAGAGCAGAGGGCCTCAAAGGGAAGGGATTTTTTTTATGTAAAAAAAATGCGACCCCTTAAAATAAAATAAGGCCGTCTGTTTTTCCCTGTTTACTCTTAAGTTACTTTATAGACATAGACCAGTTGGACCAAATGGCCTGTTTCTGTGCTGTATATTCTAATGTAATGTATGGTCTTCCTGGACTTCTCAAAAATCTTTCTCTGTGCCTTTCCAAAATATTTCAGGCTCATTAAAGTAATAAATATATTGAACAGCAAATAAACTCACAACGTAAACTCACTCTTTAAAGTTACAATGTCAGTTGGAAGAATTCTCCCTGTAGAAAATGTTGGTTCTGAACCTAGGATTCTCCAGGCACCTTTTAAACAAAAGTAACTATTTGGTGGGACTGATCCTTTCTCAACTCCAAACCTTTCTCACAGAAACTGATTTTCTAGATCTTCCAAGAATTCTCATTGTTGATTCTGTACTGCATCTTTGGTTGCTTGGTTACCAGGTACAATACAGTGTTAACACAGATACTGTGTTCAACTACTGCGAGTGCAGATTCTTTGCTAACGGTGCAAGCTTCCAACAGATGCGAGGCTTGCCACGCAGAGGGAATCAAAACTTTAGGGTGAGCCATACTTGTATACATATGCTGTAACTGGTTACAGAGAATCCTCAGCAAAGATCTGGAAGCAGATTGCCTCCTCAAACCCTCAATTAAGGCACGGTGTGTGTCCTGGGGCTTAAAGAGCAGGAAAAACAGATATTTATTTCAATGCTTTCCTTTTCAAGTCCCAAGTGAGAAATCCAGGATAAACTAAACTTTCATTATCAAGTACTATTCTTAAAATCTTTGCAATACAATTTTAAAAAAATTTGAGGGGATTAGATGAAAAAAATTCAAATCAAATTCATAAAATAACAAATGTGAGAAGATAACAAAAGTGGCAAAGTTTATATAGATGACTTGTAAAAGCATATCTGATAAGTAAATAAAATGATATTCCATTTCTATAAGATTTATAACATTTATAATCAAGAAATTTAGAAATGATGAACTTTCAAACTATTAGCAGGCATGCTTACAAAACCAAACTACGACAACTTGCACTTATATAGCTCCTTCCACCAGGGTACCGTCTCAGTGCGCTCAACAGTGGCACAGCCTGACTCCAAGCCAGGGGGAGGTGGCTGTAAGCATGGTCAAAGAGGAAAGTTTTCGGGCGGGACTTGAAAAATGGGAGAGATTGAGGGAGAGTGTTCCAGAGTTTCGGGGTATAGTGGATGAAAGCGCGACCTCCAATGGTGGGGCGGAGGGGAACGAGCAGGAAACCAGTGCCAGTCGAGCGGAGGCATCCAGTGGTGGATTGGGGAGTGAGGTCAGAGAGGGTAGGGAGGTGCCCGAGAGTGAAGGGATTTGAACAAGAGTGTAAGGATCTTGAAGCCGATCCTTTCTGTGATGGGCAGTCAGCGGAGCCTGGCCAGAACTGGTGAGATATGGGTACATATGTGGGCAGCAGAGTTCTGAATGAGCTGGATCTTTTGTATAGTGGAGCTGTGGAGACCAGTGAGGAGTGCGTTTGAGTAATAACTATCCATTATTTGGTACCAACTGACTATCATATTCAGGGAATCACAGGATGGTTGGTTTGGGAAATGGAAAGAATATTGCACTGGAACAGTTGGGATAATCGTCTGGACACATTGTGGAGGCAGAAGTTTCTAACCATCCAATAATGGACTTATGAATTGATTCTGACACCTGGTGCCTAAAATGGGAATGTATTTTTCTTCACAATAACTACATCTTTTACATTCATGAGGACAAAATTATCTAAATTAAAAAAGAATTAATGGCTTTGTACTGTCATCTACTATCATCTTACTGTAGTTTGATTAGCACCTTTCACGTTGAAAGATCATCTCAAATTGATAGGTGCTTGGAACTAAAGGTGTTAAGGAATACGAAGAAAAGGTGTGGAGATTTGGATTAAAAAGAAGGGACCATTAACTACTAAAGGGGCATTACAAGGCTTGGAAGGCCAAATGACCGATCGAGGTTCCTGTAAGATTAAGGCCTCAGAAGCAATCTATATTGTTCATGCAGTACACTCTCCCTATTTAATGAGGGATGGTCAATGCAAGCACTTACCTTTAAACCACTGAGGAGTGGCAATCCCAAAGAGCCCTTTTTGTCCACACCAGAGGCTTGGTTCTCAGCATGGCCCAAACGCATATAAGAATCATACAAGACATCACCAAATCGGGCTGCAAACACAAATGCCAACATCATTTCATTATTAAAGTTTTTTACTTCATCTGCTAAATTATACGCAATAAACAATCATTCTTTGATTGTTGTTTCACTCCTTATTCACTAAAATAAAGCATACACCTCTTCACTTCCAGCCCAAGCTGAAAAATGCAGACAGACAACTATAGTTTTTCTTATGCGAATATCTTAACCTTCCCCAATCTGTTTCAGCCATGCAACTTTCAAGAAACCAATATAAAATGTCAACAACAACATTCACTTATGTACGCCCTCCACACAGGGTAGCATCTCAGAGCATTTAACAGTGGTGGAGCCTGACTCCGAGCTGGGGGAAGGGGGCTGTAAGCACAGTCGAACATGCAAGTCTTCAGGCAGGACTTGAAAGAGGGGAGATAGGGGGCAAGGTAGAAGGATTGAGGGAGAGTGTTCCAGAGTTTTGGGCGTAGTGGCTGAAAGCACAACCTCCGATGATGGGGTGAATGGTGCGAGGGACAAGTGGGAGGCCAGTGCCAGTCGAATGGAGGCGCCGCGTGGTGGATTGGGGAGTGAGAAGGTCGGAGAGGGAAGTGCCAGTTTAAGATGGATTTGAACTCGAGAGTGAGGATCTTGAAGTCGATCTATTCGGTGATGGGGAACCTCGCCATAACTGGTGAGATGTGAATACGGAGTTTGGTCACTCATAAAATACAAGAAAAATCATCTTTTTGAATGTAATAGAATTAGGTTATTTTCTATTGTATTTTCTTCATTATCATAGAACAATATTGTTCACTTTCTCCCCCATATCCGCGTCACAACTGGCACCGCTTTTCATCACCTCCGGAATGTCGCCAGACTACGGCACTACCTCACTCCTCACGCTGCTGAAACTCTGGTCCACGCCTTTATCACCTCAAGGCTGGACTATGGGAACTCTCTCCTCGCCGGCCTTCCCGCCACCTCTCTCCACACTGCAGGTCATTCAGCTCGTGTACTGTCCCGCACCAGGCTTCGCGACCACATCACTCCCACCCTCGCTCGCCTCCACTGGCTCCCCATCCCCCAGAGGATCGAATTCAAGATCCTCATCCTCACCTACAAGGCCATTCACGGCCTCGCTCCCTCCTACCTCTCCGACTTACTATCCCCCTACCTACCCGCCCGTACCCTCCGTTCCTCTGGCTCCGGGCTGCTCCACATCCCCCGCCCCAACCGCCCTACTATCGGTGGCCGGGCCTTCAGCCTCTCAGCCCCGAGGCTCTGAAACTCTATCCCCAGTGCCTTCGCCGCCTCCTCCCTTTCCTCCTTCAAGGCCGGTCTCAAGACCTTTCTCTTCGACCGTGCCTTCAGCTCTCCTCTCGACTCTCTACCCCCTCCTCGCTCCCTCCCTTCCCTCCCCCCACCCTGACCATTTCCCCCCAATGCTCGGGTCCTGACCCAACTGTACAGCGCCTTGGGACATCCTCCCGACGTGAAAGGCGCTCAATAAATGGAATCTTGTTGTTGTTGTTCACTACTGACAGTAGAAAACCATTAGTAAAAGATGCAGCATAGATAAGCAAAGTTTATTTTCCAGACTACTGTTTTCTACAGTCTATAAATATACAACATATTGGATTATTACTTCTACAAATGTAAATATAATTGATTCCTAGGAGAGTTAAAAAGTTGTAACCTAATCAACAGGTTCAAGTGTCATCCAAATGCAAGACCCAAACTGGAGTTGCAAAGTTTGCCTGAACCCAAACAGCTAAATTTTACACACCATTGTAGCACCAATCCTGCAAGTTGCAGGGTAACCATTTGCAAAAGATAAAGAAAAAACAAATTATGTGCTGTGTATAGATTTAACACATCAATAGATAAAGGCTTGGCTAACTGAACAGTCTTAAATTAGTTTGTATGAACATGGTAGTGTGCTGTACAGTACACACATTAGATTTGCTCAAAGACATGACACTGTTGCCTTGACAAAGCTACGGCATAATACACTGAAATACATTGTCTTACATAGAACTACAGTATTGTAACTTATAGTAACTGCCGTGTTCAGTAGAAAACAATTGGTATGAGCTGGGGTTTAGAACCTCAAGACTGCAAGGGGATTAAAGCATCAATCCAGAATTTGTACAGTTTTTATGACATCTTAGTGTACATGATCCAAATACTGCATTTCTTCATGATTACTGTAACATTATTAAACTTGCGCGCTGAAAATCAGGGATATTTATATTTTCTATACAACAGTTGCATGAAATGGTCTTCAACCACCAAATTATATAAATTGACTGTGTTAAAATAGGAATCAGGATGCAAAAGGAAGTCTTTCCAGAGGTGAGAAAAACACTCTTATTTCCCTTAAGAGCCCCAAATTTGAGTTTTTTTAAAAATCCACAGTAAGTACATAAATTGACAGAACTGTTATTAGTTTGTATTTTGTCACTCTTAGGTATAATGATGGAACTCTACAAGTTACGGAAAAATTGGCACCGATGTACGAAAAACTGTACATGTAAACGCAAATCTATTGTCTCCTCGAACATAACACTTATATTTTCCAGAAAGCTTCACTTACAAATACTGTAATCATAAAGAGACACAGGGAATACTCTGCATGGTGGGTGGGGGGGGGGCAGGGAGAGACCATACACTCCTTGTAAAACAGTTGTTAAAACACATCCAACTCGAGCATTTCTTTTTGCTCGAGGGTTATCAAATCGCTGTCTCCACCCAACTATAAAATGACTAAGTTCAGTAACTGCAGCAAAACGGGTGCCAATGCAAAATAAGAAGTACAATTTCGTTACAGAACAGGAAGTCAGTCAGTCGAGAGTGGGGAATGTACCGAGTCCAAAGGCATGATCTTAATTTTTTTTTACCCCCCCCAAAAAAAACTAAAAACAAAGTCAGCGCTGTTGAGTCACAGGATGCACGCAAATTCGAGGAGGGGGATTTTTTTTTTACAGGTTTTAACTTTCACCCCTTCCTTCCCCTCTGCCCGCAAAAGAGGCAGCAACTTGGGAGGCGAGGATCCGAGCCCGAGAAACGAACAACATTCTTTATTTTTTCCTTTATATTTCAATTTTAAAAAATGAATAAAGGCGGAGTGGAATTGGCTTAAAGACGAGGCCGAGATCCAGAGGGGAAGGGGTGGGGGGGTGTGAGAAAGAGAAAGAGATACCACCCACATCAATCACAGTGAGAAACCCTTGTACAATAGAGTTAAAGGCCCCTCTCGGTGGGAGACATATAGGAAACGGGAGTAGTGTATAACACAGTGTATAATAGTGTACAATGTATAATAGTGTAGGTAGGAACACGGTTGTTAGTCGATTTGGCAGATTGCTTTACCCGGGGTGGGGTGGGGGGGGTGGGGGGGGAAGGGGTTAGTAATCCCTTCAAAAATAAATAAATAATAATAATTTGGTCGCTCAATCCCCCCCACACCCCACACCCCCCCGACTGTGTGTGGGACACCGCTGAGCGCCATCGGTTGCCCCGTTTGGCCCCACAAAACACATATGCACAATGTCTGTCCTGAGGCGACTGTAAACTCCACGCGATCGAACAGCGAGTCCCGCGCGGGGGGGGGGGGAGGGGGCCTTTCTTTACCTGTGGTGATCTGTCCCGGCGCCGCCGCTGCCGCCGCCGCCGCCGCTTTCCCGGTCAACATGGCTGCCGGAGAGCGTTCACTTCTCTCCTCCAACCGCCGGCCATTCCCACCTTCGGCGGCGAGCTCCGCACTCCCATGTGCCGTCCCGCCCCGCGGCGCCGCCCGTCCTCGCCTCTCTCCCGGGAGACGGGGGGACTAATCGTAACCGGGGCCCCGCGCGTTCTCGCTCTCCCTCTCCCGGCGGCGGCTGAGGTGATTACCGGGGCCCCGCACTCTCCCGCTCCCTCTCCCGGCGGCGGCTGAGGCGATTACCGGGGCCCTGCACTCTCCCGCTCCCTCTCCCGGCGGCGGCTGAGGTGATTACCGGGCCGGGGCGGCGGTTGCGGTTTGAACGCCTCCCGCGGGCTGGGCTGCCGCGCGGAGTGACCGTTACCCGCTCGCGCCTGCGCTGTCGCTACGGGCTGAGGCCGCTCGAGCGCCGTGAGGGGCGAGGAGGTGGGCGGGGCGGGAAAGAGAGGCCCCTCCCTGCTCCCGGGGACTCCAGCGGCCGCCGCAGCGCCTCGCCGTGTAATCCCTACCTCGCCCCCTAGAGTTCGGAGGACCAACTCTACATCTACTTGCACAGCAAGGACCCACACTCAGCATTGGGGTGAATTGATGACCTACTGGTGGGTGGATGTTGAGGGTAAATTCATGACCCACTGAATTGATGGGATAAAACTGGCTTCTCCTTTGGGATTGGGATCTGTTGACATCCACCTGACCAGGCAGATGAGACCTCGGTGTCTCACCCAATCTGGATTTACGAGGATGTTTCCAGGAATTGAGTGGAAATAACTAAAATTGGACAGTCTGGAGATTTTCTCTCTCTCGGCTGGAAGACGATTCGAAGGGGACCTGTGTTTCAAGATTGCGAACGGATTCGATAGGATGGATGTCAATAAGCTGTGTTCACTGATTGCTAAGTCCAAATGCTAATAATAATAATAGTGCAATAAAAACAGTTCAGATGAAAGGTCATCAACCTGAAATGTTAACTCACATTCCTCCTCCTCCATTCGATGCTGCCTGACCTGCTGCGTGTTCCCACCGGCTTCCGTTTTTATAACAATAAAATACTGCTTGCTATTGTTTACCTTTCAGTGAATGATTTCTAGTACTGGTGGAAATGGGGGCAGAACGCTTGTTGGTTTTCCACGTAACTCTATCACACAAGAAGAAAGGAGGGGTTTACAGTAGGCCAGGCCAAAAGGAAAGTACTTTACCAACAAATAATAGATCTCATCCTGCAAGCATCTTTCACCCTGAGTTCATATCCTACATCGCTGCACAGTAGGATGGCCAATCCCAGATTGTTAGGAAGAGACACACCTGAATGAGGTTTGTCCCCCTGGGGTAAATCTGCCCTGTCTCTGCATCGTGCTCCGTCACCATCAAGCGGTCTGGGACGCTACCCTACGTGAGGGGCGCTATTCTAAATGCAAATTGTTCTCTCTTGAGTTCAGTGACAAAACTGCACAAGAACCATATATATGTTNAAAAAAACTCATCGGAGAGATACAGCCATTATTTATAATAATAATCCTTGCATTTGATATAGCGCTTTTCACGTATTCTGGACGTCCCAAAGCGCTTCACAGAACACACTATAAAGTGAATTGACTGTATATTTGTGGGCGAACGCGGCAGCGAATTGCGCACAGCAGTGTCCCACAAACAGCCGTGGATTGAAAATGACCAATTTATTATTGTTTTGGGTTTTGGAGGGATTATTATTAGGCTCTGTGTGGAGTAAGGAAACTTGCCCAAGGTTTCGCCCTGACCTGCCGGGGATTGAACTCCGGTCTCTCGCTCGCAAAGCGAGTGCTCTAACCACTGAGCTACAGGACGCCACGATTTGATTTAATCCAACGAAGTTTCTCCAGGAATTGGTAGTGAGCATAATTTTTTTTTCTCTCTCTCTCTCTATATATATATATACACACATATACATTCATAAAAATAACTGTGCCTGGATCTGTTTGAACAAAACAGGGTCGATCTGCTTTGCTTGTAGAGTGGAGTAGGTGAGATGAATTGGAAGGGTAGGAACCTTTGAGACGGGTGGGTCCGTTTGTACGGGCGCTGGAGGTGCAGCCCGGACTGCGTTGAGCAACGGGAACGCCAAAGATGGCGGAACTCCCGGCGGCGGCAGATGTTTAGCCTCTGAGAGAGGGGCAAATAAAAGGCAAAAACCTGGTTGCTCCGGTTAATTGTCAGCGGCTTTTTTCTCTCTCCACATATATACATATATATGCGTAAAAATTCCTGGAGGGTAAAACGCCGAGCAGCGACGAGAGAGAGAGATGTTTGTCAAACCTTTTCGTGTCAAATCGAACACGGTCATCAAAGGATCGGACAGGTAGGCCCATGGCGCTCTCCTCTCTTGTGGCGAGAGAAGAGTGGTCGGTGGAGGGTGGTGGTGCGGCCTGGCCTGGTCTAGCCTGACCCACACATTGGCCCCCGGGCCGGGAAGGGGAAGGAAGCTCAAACGTTGAAACGAAACCAGGTGTGTGTGTGTGGGGGGGGGTGGGGGGGAAATAAAGGAATAAACGTCAGAATGGACTTGACTGTCCTCCTCCTCCTCCTCCCCCCCACCACCACCACCACCACCACCGTCAACCTGCCCGGTGACGAGAGCCAGGAGGACTTCAGCCTCTGACGACGCCAACCCTTTGTGTTTTTGATTTGGTGGGGAGGGGGATAAAGGTTTGGTGATGGATGTCTTGGGAGGAGGAGTGAGGGGAAGGGGGAGTTGTTGGCTGAGGGGGGAGTTGTTGGCTGAGGGGGGAGTTGTTGGCTGAGGGGGGAGTTGTTGGCTGAGGGGGGAGTTGTTGGCTGAGGGGGTTGTTGGTTGAGGCAGGGCTTTGTGCTCTGGTGCTTTCTCTCCCCCCCCCCCCAACCCCTCCACACACACCCCACTCTCACCCCCACCACCCCTTCTTTCTCTATGTGTGCGTGAGGACCTCAATAACAGTTCAGGCACTGCTCAAAGGGGCCGGGCAGCTCTTCGAATTCCTCCCTCGGAGTCTCAAAAGGGCTTTTCGGTTAAGCGAACGTTCGTTTCGAACTGAGCTGAATTGTTTCCTTTCCCCTTAGGAGGAAACTCAAAGCACAGGTGGTGTCTCTTTTCCCTTCGCTGTCCGGTCATCAATTATCTCAACTTGTACCAAACAAGGAGGAGCTGAATGTCGTGAAAATCAATTCACATAAAGGCGATGCAGTTACGGTGTTCGTCCTCAATAGGAATCCCATCTTTTTTGAGGTGGAGAAACGGCTTTACCCAACAGGTGTGTGCATTGTATCCAGTGAATAGCCTTCAAATTTACACTCCTAACATCTGGAACTCTCCCCCCCATCTCACCCTCCTCCCTATCTTTTTAAGTCCCACTGTAAAACCTACCCGTTCAAGCCAATATCATTGTTCTACCTCTTGCTTGGTATCCAACCGTGTCTTTGTAAAGCACTGCAAGATGTTTCCTCTGTGAAAGGCATTATATAAATGTAAGTTGTTGTTGAACAAAATGGCCTTGATTTAATAGTTTGGGGCTAATGTGACACTCTTTTATGCTGGACAGTATACACCTTGTGGTCTTATCCTGATTTGATGGCTGCAGTTACCACATGGCCTGCGGTGTTGGAGAAGCTTGCTGGAGGAGCAGGTGAGGCTTTGTGTGTATAGCACTACGTACAGTAGATAATTTAGACAGTTGTAGCCTTTTGAATATTCCTGTTAAAAGTTTGCAACCTCTTAAAAATGTTGAAATCCCTTGTACAGAGCAGGCATTTCAAAATAAGTTACGTGCAGAATGTAATGTAATGGCACTGAAACGCAACTAAAATTTAAATTGACTGGGGTGTTTACTTAATACCTGCCCTGGATTAAGTACCCTGCATTTATCTGTTGATTTATGGGCTATGACTGCACCTGAACTCTAAATTCACTTGTAGGCTGAATGTATAAGAATTAAAAGTTATTTGAGCATTTGGAGGAATTGAACCGTATGTCACTGTTTTACCTGTTGTAGATCTCATGTTACCCGGAGTAGTTGTGCCACCTTCTGGACTTCCTGACATACTGCAGGGGGACCTTTGCGCCGTTAACCTTGTTGGAAGCAGGTTCAGTATTCACTTTTTTATATTTTTGTGTTCAATCATTCATTCTCTTTGAGCCGCAAGGTTCCTGCAGGCACATATGTGCCCTGCACAGTAGGGCAGCCCATTTTGCTTATCTGTTGGCTTATCATTGACCGCCATTTGGCATACCTTTGTGAATTGAATCCTTACGATTTTGAGTTTGTCTTTCAATCCATGGAATGAAGATCTAGTCTCTTTGATGGCCTCTGTGAATCCTAAAGCAAATTTGCTTTGCAGCTTTCAGTTCAAGAACCTTGTGTTCCTGCAGTCCAAAGCTTACACGTTGCTTTTATTCCTGAACAAGCGCTCTGGGAAGCAACCTCACCTGAAAGCCATTATATAAATGCAAGTTGTTGTTGCTCTTATTTCCAAACATAGTTTGTACAGCAATCTGAGAGTCGAGAAACATGTATATCAATTCATTTCAGGTTGAAATAAATGTAAAGTTGTATTTTATTTTTGCTTCTTCTGTTCAATGGATTGCAGAGCCCCAATTGCCGTAGGCCTGGCCTGTATGACAACAGCACAGATGGTTGCAGCAAGAATGAAGGGAAAGGGTATCTCTGTCTTCCACACCTATCACGATCAGTTATGGTAAGGGTGAGAGCTTTCAACTCGTGTCTGTAAATCACATGTGTTCAAAATATTTTCAATGTGATTTGTCCATATTTGGAACTTTCCCATGGCTCTCTCTTTCCCAACCAATCCCGGGGGGGTGCGGGGGGCAGAAGATTGGGGCTGCTCGATTGCTCTGATGACTAATTGACAGTTTGTTCAAGATCTTTGAGAATTTTTCGATCACTATTTACTTAGTTGGAGAATGGCATTTTGTGGGAGTGCGAAAAATTCATTTAAGGAATGATGGTTAGTTATCTTTTCTCTCCTTTTTGAGGGCATTTGGAGAAAGAAGTAGCCCCCCACTCATTGCCCACAAGTTTTGTGATCTTGGGGAGTCAGGAGATCAGCTGGAAGTGGAGGAGGAGGAAGAGAGAGAATTGTCTTTAAACGGAATTAACAGTGGAAATGAAGAAGCACCGAGAGACCTTATGGAGGGTGATATACCAGATGTTACAGAGGATGATGTCCCAGATGTGCATAAGCTATGTTTGAACGCTGAAACTGAATCGGAAGGTTTAAACTCTGGGACAGATCGAGTAGGCGACTGTGAAACTTGTGCCATCGACCCGGATGGGGCTACGGATAATGCCACAGTTCATCAAGAGAATACAGAAGACACAGGAGCCACACAGGGTATGAAAATAATTTAAAGGATATAACAGTACATTTGAAGGTTACAGTTCACTGACTTGCCCTAGCTGTTCAGGTTGAGGACGTGTTTGGATTTCCAAGTCTGGTGAGCCTGGCAGACTGCTCAGCCAGTTCAATCCTGGGTAGATCTCATTTAAAAGATAATTGGAGGTACATAGGTCACTCATTGTCGATGAATGGACCCTCACGGCTTTTGGAAACCAATTCTGATGGTCAACCACATGAGCTTCCTTTCTTGTCTATGGGCAGCCCTCGAGGGGTAAACTAACCAACGCTGCAACCTTTTGACAACAAAATAAATTGCACTGCGCAATTTTTTTTTCCCCCAAACAAGTATCTGATTTTGAACACAGAGGAAATTTCATTTTCGTGGCTTAAAAGGTTATGGGCAATATTACTGTGGAATACAGTCATTTTATTTATTTTAAAAAAAAGCTCTTACATTTGAAGGATAAATTTTAAAAGAAATCTGGTATAACTCTAAAAGTTTAAAAATGGGCTTCTGTAGTGATTTGGCTCCCATTAATTACTGAGCAGACTGCCTGCCCAGTGGCATTTTACGCTTGATTTTAATTTTCCCTGCTGGGACTCGCCAAGCGAGTGGCATCCACAATTGACTGACCTGCCAACCCGAATTAGTGCATAGCATTGTTCAATCGGGTTCTGTGGTGAACTGCTGCGCTTGCTGATGGGAACAATTGTCTCTTCCCTTTATTTTTACAGAACAGATGGATGAGCTGCTATTGCAGTGCTTCCTTCACGCTTTAAAGTTTAAGGTGAAGAAAGAAGACCTGCCACTACTGACTAGCACGTTTCTGAGGAATCGTATGTATCCTTGCTGGTGAGTGTACCGATAAAACATTTAGTCACAGTCATGCCACTATACGTCATTCATTGTCAATCGTGTCTCTTTTTAGTGAACGGTCTATTTAAGCTGTTCTTCGGCACCAACAACTCAATTGAATTAGCCAGAGACTTTGTAACAAATGGTGAAAGTCAACAGGAAACTTTATAATTCATTCAACTACTGCTTCTTCATTTTGTTAGCCAGATCTTTAGTAGCATTGGGATTAAATTTGGGAGATTTAGGATAGTAGGAACAGATACTTTCGCATTTCGTTGATTAGTACCCCTCCTAAATCTCTGCCTCTGCTGGTACAAGATCAGATGAGCCCATTTCGAAAGGTTGGCACTAGATTTATTTCACGTGTTTCTGTTTTGAGTTTTGAAAGCGAACTCAAAAGATGCTCATAAAAGAAGTGTCGTCTGTGTTGAGGCTCAAATCCTCACAAGATAACACCCCTGGTCCCGAGAGATTAAACAATGAATACATAATCTCTATATTCTCTGACTTGCCTAAGTGCCCATTAACTACTCACAAAATGGGCACTAAAATAGATATAGTTTTGCTGGATCACATCAGTGTGACGTTTGTCCCCGCTGCTCTTGTTTCTGTGGTATGATATAATTACATCCCATCCCTTTCACCTTGTGTAAAAAGAGGATTGAGATTTTTGGAAAGTTTCCTTCATTTCTTTGCTAACTTGGAAAAACATGTGTTGAGTCACTCAATCGTTGTGATGATAAGAATTACCTAGTCTTAGTCTCCTCTCCCTTCTATCTTTTATCCACTAGAGAAGATTGCATCTCTCTAACCTGTGGACAACATTATATTTTAGAGTTCTATGTTGATCTTTGACCGTGTCATTGACTTGTATTTTCAAATCTTGTGCGTGAAATACTTGATGTTTATTGGTGATTTTTTTTTCTTTCTGATTAGCCCAGAAGGCAGACAATTAGACATTAAAAAATCAAGTTATAAGAAGGTAGGTCAATACAAAGAGAAGACTTGTACAAGTTTGCAATGATTTGTATTACACAAAGATTTTTCTAGGCTATTACCATATTTTTAATTGAAATCTATATCTTACCGTATTATAAATACTCGGATCTAGTAGTAGCTGTTTATTCTCTTTCTATCGGCCTCTCTCTTAGTGACAATTTCAGCCCAGCATAATTATACACTGAAACAAAGAGAAAATAACTGGTTTTGTACTCTGTTCTGAATCATTGGGTTTGTGACTTGCTCCCTGAGTTTAAGTGGGCAATTCACGGGGGTGCTACTTGGGATGGAAGAAGTTGGGTACGGTGAGAATACAATTTAATTGTATTCCCATGAAATGGGGGAGATGGAGGCTTAATTGATAGTTACAGATAATGAAGAAGATTGACACAGGAGAGGACGCCAAGTTTCCTTCTGGTAGAGAAATTCAGATTCGGGGAACTTGATCTTAAAATCTGAGCTAAGACATTTGAAAGTGAACGCAACAGCAACAGTAAAATTACATTTGTATAGTGCCTTTCACGTCGGGAGGACGTCCCAAGGCGCTGGATAGACAGAGTTACGAACGCAGAAGTCTTATAATTTGAGTGGGGAAGCTCACTGAATTTCTCTGCACTTCCACCATCATCAATGATCTGCTTTGTGAGAACGTATAAGAATTGTGGGCTGTTCGCTCACAATATATATAGTCAATTCACTTTACGGTATATTCTGTGAAGCAATTTGAGGCGTCTCGAAGACGTGATGAAACGCTATATCAAATGCAAGGATTATTATTATTAATTGTGATTCTCATCTCCAGCTCTCGAAATTTCTCCAGTCCATGCAGCAACGGCAGATGCTGAAGGTGGACGAACTCTCCAAGGGCGTTGAGGGCATCGTCAGCGTGAACTGGAAGCACGTGGAGTACGTACGCTTAAAATAGAACTTCGCTTTCACAGGCTGCCTCAACTTCAGCCTCTCCTGCAGCAAAGTGACAGAGCTCCAAAACTCTACCGTTTTATTTTGTAACGAAGATCTGACTCTATCCTATCCTTTAATACAAGGTATAATACAGTCCTGCATCACTTTGGCTTGTAAGTTGTTTTTAGGATAAACTTAAATATCAGGAATTCTTTGTTCTGCCATTACTAATTTGATTCCAGATTTAATGGTTGAGGATACATTTTCTTTGAGCTCTTTAGTGGAGGAGGGAACGTAAAACCCAGCATTGTAATTTTCTAAATGGTGCAATAAGATCTTCATTAACCGAAATCTCATTCAAGTGAATCTAGCAATCACAGTCTCTGAACTGGAACAGAACAAATAATGCACTGATTATAACAGTGTGGACTCTACAAGATTTGTATCCCACTGAAATAAATGACTTTGTATTCCAGAAACATGATAAAGAGGCCATTGTATCTGGGCTGGAGCTAGCTCTTCCACTACTCCAATCCCATCCTCCTAATCTTTTTTCCTGCAACATTTGTTTTGCCCACCCCCCACCCCACCCCACCCTCCCCCTCATGCATTTGTGCAATTTTCGTTTTGAATACTGGTATCAGGATTGCTGCTAAATAGCCATTTCTGCTTGCAGCCTCAAGTCGTTCTGTGTCCCCGAAACATGCACCACTGAAGATGCAGCGAAGGTTGACGATGGGGACAGCGAGAGCGTCTACCAGCCTCCAGAATTCAATTTCTACTACACCATTCCCTCCAAACTGTTCCCCCTGTTTGAGCATGCAGGGCTCAAGTAGGTGTTACATAGTTTGCCTGATAAATGTGAAACACTCCAAGCTTAGTTAAATTGACTTAAATGCATTTTTCAGTGATGACTTGGCTTTTGGAGGACTTCACACAATAGCTTGTGAGTTTGTTTGCCCAGTGAGCAGGCCTGACCGCATGACCCTATAATTTGCTTCTGTTTAGAAGAGGTGCCACCCTGACCCATGAAGACATAAGAAGCATCGTCATAAATTACGTCAAGTCCAATGAATTGATGGACGACTGCAATAAAAAGTGAGTGATGTGCATGGCGAGGCAATGTTAACACTATACACTATAATGCTGCAGACTTGTTCAAAGCATGTGGAAATGGGTATTAGAGAGCATGGGGAAGGAGTAGAGGATTGGGATGGATAGCTTCTGGATGAGCAAAGATCAACCTGATTATCTGCTGTATATTTTCTGTATATTTTTGGGTTTGTTTGTATGAAACTTATTCCCAGGGCACTGTAACCCGTCTTCATTAAGTTTAAAAAGACTGGGTGTTCAGTTGAGCTTGTAGAATGATTGATCGCACATTCTGTAGACACAGGAGCCTGGGAATTGATGACATCAGCTGTCCTGGTCAGGTCACGACTCAGCCCTCTTAAAGTATTGGCACTGGCTGTATATAGACTAGTGTGTGTTCAAGTAGTTTCACTGTGTTCCCACCATATAATGTTGCTGTGTCCCATAATTACTTAGTGTTAGTAATGCTGTGAAAAGCCCTTTACTCAGGAAGTGGTTGTCATAATTGCCAAACAAGCAAGCTTGTGATATTGTGATTTCACTGAATTATACTATGGGAGATTTTGCCAGGATCCCACGAACTGTACACTGTAGCTTAAGGTTAGTAATTGCTACGGATTTCAGAAGAAGATGTAAATTTGACATCCTCATATTTTCTGTTTTCTCTCTTCCCTCAGTTATGTGATCATTAATCCTGTCCTCTGTGACTGCCTATTGGAGAAGTCTGAGTATCACACTGTAACTAAGCTAAAATGGGATGACTTCTTTGCCAGGTAATGTGCACACCAATCTGGCTACAACATTGCTGAATGAGCCAGTGATACGGAGATAGCAACCAATTATAAGAAACATTATCGTCGCTGTAAGGACACATCAATAATCTGAAGAACCTAGAGAGGAAATGTCAGCATTTTTAAAATGCACTGAATACAATATAATTCCTGGATGATCCAGAGATCTGCAATAAAACGCTACAATATAAAAGTACATTTTTTTTCGTTTAAAATTTGGTTCGTCCAAGTCCCTTTCCTCCATACGCTGCATAGAATAGGCTTAAATGTTCCTTTTAGAAAAATAAATTGCTCTCAAATACACAAATGGATATCGCCAAATCTGTGAAAAGCATTAGTAATTGGTTCTCAAAAGGCGGTGTGACCAAACTGCACTCAATGTTTTGGCTTCATCCATGTTGCAGTGCAATTAATCTAGCGTGCGTTTCCCAGGTGCTTCAAGAGGCTCGATCAATGCCACGAGGTGGTTTTCCCTGGACAGAGACCGATCATTCGAAAGGGCAGCATAGAACCGATTGATATTAATATAGATCGGGCTTCAAACAAGAAGGTTAGTAGCTTCCTCCGAGAACGTAGCTGACATATCTCATTGAAACAGGACACAAAAGATTTAAAAGGTTCAGATTCACATGGATGCTTATTGATTAGATAATTGTTTTAATTAGATTAATTGCACTGCAACGCGATGAAGCCAAAATATTGAGCGCAGTTTAGTCACACCGTCTTTTGAGAACCAATTACTGATGCTTTTCACAGACTTAACGACATTAGATTATTGATTAGATAATTCTTGAAATTCTTTTGGTAAGTCATCTATCATAACGGTCACTTAACCAATATGAGCACCACATACGAGAGCAATTTTTGGGTGATGTTTTACTACTTTGATTTGCCACTGTGCTTTTAATGGCAAAGACATCCTATTGAGATTCACAGGTGATTGCTGTCCAGAACAACTTGTCCATTGTAACTGTACAGTGACACTGTAAATGTTTTTGTTATCAGGTGACTGTTGTCAAAAACCTTGAGCTGTTTGGCTTGGACCTCCAGATGGTGAAGATTGCCCTTCAGCGAAGAGCTCAGGCCACTGTAGCTGTCAAGCAAACTCATGGAAAGGATAAGTGGATACTTTGGGCTCAAGGGAACCAGATAGCTCATGTTGGCAAGCTGTTGTTAGGTAAGGTTTATTTTCATTTAAAAATTACACCACACACGATGACAAACTATTTTACCACTCAACTTTTCAGTCATGACTTTATGGATAGAAGTTCTGGGGACGTGGGGAGCGTAGGCAATACATTGATACCTAATTATCACTAGTTAATTTCCGATGAAAATTTGGTCCTTTCTGGTGTTTATTTTGCCACTTTTATGTGTTCCAGAAGAATACAGAATTCCTCAGAAATATATTAAAGGACTGGAAAAGGCGCCCAAAAAAAAGTGACACTGCGTTTGAATTCAGCTGTGAGAGATCCATCAGAATCATGAACAACTACCAGATGTCTTTTCTTTAAGAAATTTAATATAAAACATTCTTCAGGTACAAAATAAACTTTGCTGAACCACCAATTAAAAAGAGCATATATGAACAGTATTCGCAATGCTTTTTATTAAGTTGTTCCAAAGGAAACGTTCAGGTGTCAACCTAGGACATTTGGGGTAGTGCTCTCACCTCTGAATCAGAAGGTCATGGCTTCAGTGTCCCATGTCCCGAGCAGTTTTGGGTGACACTCCGGTGCAGAGTCCAGGGTGCGTTACGTTGTCGGAGATGCCGTCCTTCAGATGAGACGTTAAACCGAGTTCCCGTCTGCCTGTTAAGGTGTACGATAAAGATCCCTATTCGAAAAGAGGAGGGAGTTTCTCCCTGTATCCTGGCCATCAAACCCCCAAATAAAATTTGGTCACTCCCTCCATGGCTGTCTTGGGACATTGCAGTGTGCCAGTTGGTTGTTGCGTTCGTGTACAAATACCGAGCAAGATCCTGTGAAGCCCTTTGAGTCATCTTGACATCGTGATAAGGCAAGGATTATTATTATTGTAAATCATCAAAACAGCTTGTTTTGAAAGCAATCATTTATAATTCCAAATGGTGTAACTTCTCCATGAAGAAATGAAAGAGTTGTGAATAAGTGTAAGCGCTCTGAGACGCTGCCCAGCATGAAGGCTGCTATATAAATGCAATGTGTACGTAATTTCTCATTCCCCCCCCTCATCCCCGCCCCAGGGGGGGGATGAGAAATTACGTACACATTTCTCAAGCCCCCCCCAGCTAACAAAGGCTGGAAGCATTAAACCTGTCACCGGCGTGTGTTTATTTTGGATTGAGCGTGCAGGTTTGGATTTCTTTTGTGACGCGTTAGGTTACGAGCGATGTGAATGTAAGCGCAAAAGCATTGTGTTTCTCAATTGGTTCAGTTGTCTCGACACTAAAATTTTAATGATACAAATAAATCCGTTCTCTTCTGGCATCGAACTCTGAGACCAGAGGGTTTGTGTTTCATCATACCATTATTGCCTGCAGCGATGCTCAGTGTGAAGGATGATATATCATAGAGAAGCTCTCGATACAAATGCCCTGTTACCTAGATTTCTCCAGGGTTCAAGTTGCCACTGAACAGCGCTTGTTCATTTTTTGGGGATTATTCCCAAATCAGCCAGGCCATTTACATTTGGATTCTGTGATCATCCAAAATAAAAGATGTATCCTCAGGCTGTTATTGTGTATCGGAGGTTAATTTGCAACGATTTTAATTGTTTTTCTGATGAAGACAGTATATTATTCTGTAAAGATATGATTCTCTTATGCTCTATGACTATATTTACAATTTGTATTGCTCCTTGTGGTTGTGTTTTTGATTTGTGCACATTAACAGTGAACCACAGAACTAAAGAAATTTAGAGCATAGAAGACCATTTGTCCCATCTTGTCCGTGCTGGTACATTTAAGAACAACCCTTTTAGTCCCATTTCCCTGCCCTTTCTCCAAACCCCTGTTGTTTACTCCTGTTTAGTACTTATCTAATTTCCTTATGAAAGCTAATCTGGATTCTGCCTCAACCATCGGTCCCAGGCATTCCATATCCTAACTACTCTGCAAATGAAAGAGATTCTCTTAACCTCCCCATTTGCTCATTTATTTGCTATCTGAATGATGCCCTCAAGTCTCTGATTCACTGACTGGTGGAAATAATTTCTCCCTATTGACTATCAAAATCCCTCATCATTTTAAGACCTCTTTTCAGTTCAATTTTCTTTATTCTAATGGGGAAAAAGTCCCAGTTCTTTCAGTCTCTGCTCTTAGGCCAAACTACCAAACTGCTCATCCCCCTGTGTCATCCTAGCAAATCTCAGTTACAAATTGTGCCACTTCTTTAACTATTTTACTTTCATGTGTTTCTAAAATCCTTTAATATTTTTCCTTTATATTCCTTTTTCTTGTTTCCCTTCTATATTTTCTACACATTTATTGCACGTCTCTTCTCATTGAGTCAACTGTACTCAAGACATGGGAGCACTTGACTCCCAACCAGATGGCTATGAATTTCTGTCACAATGCCAGTTTCTTGGCCCTTTTGCTTTAGTCACTTAAGAGCCTGGCGCCAAACGGAGGGAGCATCGCACAAGGGCAGCTATTAACTTAGCAGAGCGGGGATAATCATTTCAAATAAGCTAATCGTAAGCTAGGGTTCACCTGTTTATGGAATTCATTCCCAAATTTGTAGTCAACTGTGCCACAAAATAATGCTTGAATTGATGGGACTGGTTTCAAAGACACACAGGCACAAATATTTTTTTTGCAATTAGGCGGGGGGGAAAGCATAATTTATTGCATCAATAGTTACAGATCTACATCAAACGCCACTTCCACATATTAACCAAACAATTGACAAATTTTGTATGTACAAAAGCAATAAATACATTTTCTTCGCTTAAGCTATGTCACTGGTCAAGTGAACCCACTGCTATGAGCAACATTTTTTTTAAAAAATCCATCGTTTAACACACAATTACTCTTATCGGACTGTAAAATTCCCCAGTCTCCAAATCATATGGATTGCTCCTGTGCTTACAAAATGTATTAAATACCTGGATCCTTTGCCAAAGAATTACATTGCACATTGAATCGTACCTACACTAAATTTGAAAACAATAGCTGGGTCTGTTGGTGATTTAAGCAACGAGGATTTTTCACCCATTCTATCCTATCGTGAAGACAGGCCTTGTTCTGAATGTTTCGATTCAGTGGATTTGCCTCTCTCCTCGCGTATATTGTGCTTGACAGTTTTATTATGACTATTAAAGGCTGGGTGAGTTTTGCAATATAGCCTGCCTGTGTCTCATTTAGGGCTGAACATACAGTGGTTGTTAAGATAAGGAAGCGATCTCATTGTAGCTAAAGTGAAAAATTCCACTTTACGTCTGTGACTCGGTCAAAGTACTGGTGAGGGAAATGGCTCCTTTTGTTCTCCCTGTTCCCCCTCCGCGCACATACACAAACTGCACACGAGCAACACTGAATAACCCAGGCCAAGTTTGGCACAAATCGGAAGTAATGCATTGCTTTGTAATAACTCAACAAAAGACTTCAGTGTTAATAATATCACAGTAACAGTCTTCAACAATGACTGTTTCTCTTTCACACACTATCCTTGCAACCTCTTGCCAGCAAGATTGCAAAGTTGGCACAGAATTGCCAGCGTATGCTTGCGGCAAATCCTTTAAACATTCACTTGCGGAGGGGATTGGGTTGAGGCTGCCAAGATATTTCACTTAGCATTTAGCACCTGTGAGCAAGAGCAGACTTTAATGAACTGTGCTGATTCAAAGCCACATCTCAGTTGAAAGAACAATTCAGTCCTACAGTGTGAATATTTTTCCTTTATCACATCTAACTAGTGAAAAAAAAACATTCATATATTACATTTGGCACAGAGTAAGCTTTTTTTTCAAAGAAAATATCCATTAACACAAGTATCTTGTAACATTTATCCCAACGTTTGTAAATTTACATTCTCGATAGGAAGGTATTGCAGAAGATGCTTCCTTGGGCAACACAAAGGTAGACATTTTCTTCACACAATTTTGTAGCAATGTCATCAGCTTACAATGTCAAACTACAGGTTTTGGCACGTTTGTATAGTATTCTTAGCCTTTTTAGTCTGACATCATTGTACAAGTCAAAGCTTAAAATTATTAATATGAATCATTTTTACGTTGGATTAGTACTTGATTTCTGGGGACAATCCCTCAAAAAAAAATTGGTCACTCAATCCATGACTGTTTGTGGGAATCTGCTGTGCAATTGGCTGCCGTGTTTCGCGAACAAAATACAGTCAATCCACTTTACAGTATATCCTGTGAAGCGCTTTGAGACTCTCGAAGACGTGATAAGGCGCTATATCAAATGCAAGGAATATTACCTAAGGGTTTATCAACAATCCTGATCATTGCATTTGCCCTTCTGAGCACAAGTCTCCGACATGACATTCATAATAAACTACTTTGATTCTAACAGCTATGAAAAATAGATTCGACCATGAAATTTCTAAAGTGGAGTCTTATAGGGACACTCAATGTTTTTACATTTGTAATTATGTGATTCAACAACCATACTACCAGTATGCTACCCTACTATTTTATGCGACAAAGAACATTTTTACCGAGTTATATTTATGAATTGATTAATTTATGAAAGGCATGCTTGAAATTAGATTTCGCAGAGTCTATAGTTTTTAATAACACTTTGACTGGATAGATAACTAATTCACCTAGTAATTGAGATTCTGAAAACAAACACAAATCTGTGTTCAATTTCTAAAGCATGAGCCCCAGTATGAATAAGCTCCCTGGAATACGTGAGTACTGCTACTGTAACTACTGCACAGATTCAAAATGCATTCAGAAAGGTTACGGAAATAAAACATGCCTAACTTACAGTCTGAAATCCACACACATCTTGGCTAGAAACTTAATAAGCTTTCGCTGTGAATCTTAGACCTGCTCAGATGTTTTAAGACAGATGGAACATGTGCAATACACAAAGCAATACACATGATGTGGCATCACAAGTAGTCAAACAATACATGTCCCCTTTATCTGTCAATTAAAAATTGTAAAGTCAATGAAGTTTGGCTGAGGGGAAATTTTTGCAACAGTCATTAACATCCTGTGACTCATACTAATCATATTTAATCTGCGTATACTGTCCAAACAAATGATCTTGAAGATTATGCATTTAACTAGTTCCTGTGAAATAATGTGACTCCCTAGCACACCAACATATCTCTACCCCAGGCCCAAAGCAACATTATGGTTTGTCATTTCTTTCCCTAATGCATAATTGATCCGAATCTTACTGTATGGTCCATGTAATCCCAAACTCTTTGTTCCTGGAGACTTTCTTCAAAGCAGTACAAGTGGAATGATTGACCTTCATGTTAGACAGAACAGCGATGCTGTTTGCTGTGGACTGATCCCTTTTCAATCCGGCAAAACAGCCCCGGGTTATGAGCTTGCTGCTGGATTCTGCTGTGATGGGGGGTCTCTCCTCTCCTACTTGAAGTGCCTTCAACATGTTTTCAACCTCCACCAGGCTGTCGACTTCTTTCTCAAACAGCAGCACCTCCAACTGTTCATTGTAACTGGTTTGAACTGCCCAGTGGGTTTGAGAAGCATTGCTGTTTTTTACCCCTGCTCTTTGAACGGGATCTTTGTCCTTGACGTGTTCTGTTTTGGTGCCGTCTGTCTGGTCGTCCAACAGACCGACAGTGTCACCGTAGCCTGACTTGGTCTTCAGATTCCTGGCCAGACTTTTGTGAGGGGCTCTCTTTTGAGAACACCAGGGGACGCTCAGCTTGTTTTTCTGATCTCTCTGCGTACGTTGAGAGATCTTGGGGGTGGAGGTGTGATGGACTCGGTTGCTTTTGCTGCTGTTCTTCACCTTCTTTCCGCCCAGCAAATGGTTGATGACTTTAGACTTCCTGGAGCGCAGGGGCGTCCCGTGAGAGCACGAACCGTCGCTCCCTGCAAAGGACGAAGCAACGTATCAAAAAAAAGGGTGGCTTTGCTTTGACCTGTCAATTCTGACGGTCAAGGTGGTGGACACAGATACATGGTTAAGAAACAATTGGGAGTAAACGTTTCCAGCTTTTCCGTACATGTTCCTTGTGTTTCGCTCATAGAATGCACAGTCAATCCACTTTACAATATATTATGTGAAGCACTTTGAAACGTAGGCACGGCGTGAAGGGAGCTATGTCAAATGCAAGGATTATTATTGTTATTAAGTTTACACTGACTGCAACTGAGCTGCCAATAAGGTCCAGCTTAATGTGTTGCCCCCCCAATGCACCACGTTGTAATAGGGATGTAATGCATCCCTACAACCTCTGACAGATCATCCTTTTTTTCCCCCATGATTAATTAAAAGTTCGTAATGAAGCACTACCTTTAGACTCAGGATTTCCTCGACCTGTACAATTGTGCAAAGATATGTCTGTGTGTGTGTGTGTGTGGTGGGGGGGAGGAATGGTATTTTCTGTGTCAGGCTAACTGTGGATAAACAAAGGATGTGGTTTGTATGACTTGGTGCCTCAATGAGCATTAACTTTATTCACTTAGCCCGTACCTGTGTCTTGTTGATCTTGTGCGATGTATGCTGGTCGGCAGCCCGGTGTAGAAGTGAGGACGTAGACTTCTCTCTGTGCTTTCCTTACGCACTGGCTTTCTTTTAGTTGGCAGCTGACAGAAAAAGTAAAGCAAAATAAACCACACGGCACTTCGCAGATCGAGTTGTTTCAATGGAAGCGACGCTTAAAATAAAATAAGATAGACTAGTGATTGCTTTCACCATACAGGAAGGTAGGTTAGGTACCTTGATGCTGTTGTGAGTGAGGCCGTACTGTACTTCTCTCTCAGTTCAGCCACTTGCGAGGCAGGGAAGCTCGCCATCGAATACGCAGTCTGCAAATAATAATAATAATAATAATACATGGATTTGGTACAGAGCCTCTCACATCGGTTTGATTTCCCAAAGCGCTTCACAGGATTTCACTATGATGTAGAGTGAATGTGTATTTGTGTTTGACATGCTTTTTTTTAAAAAAAACAAAAGCTGGAGAAAGTAGCATCAGTTTGGGCCCACGTGTCCATTACACAAGTACCGAGGTATCACCGGGAGTCACATCAACAGAAATTCCCTGGAGAGAAGCTTCAATCAACCTCTATCAACCCGGGGTTTCCAAACGCTCGCTCTGATATCCGATTTCTCACCTGCATGAGCTTGCTCGAGTCGGCCAACTTTGTCTCCAGCGATGTCTGACTCAACCGTTTGACAACTTCATCGGGGCTCTGGCATTTCTTAATCCACCTGCGGCAAAACAAGGCAGCGTCGGCACGAGCCAGCTACTAAGAACAATAACTTCGCACTTATAATAGTAATCCTCGCAGTTGATACAGCGCCTTATCACGTCTTCGAGACGTCTCTAAGCGCTTCGCAGGATATACTGTGAAGTGAATTGACTACATTTTGTGGGCGAAACGCAGAAACCCCTCGTTTGCGAGGCGAGTGCTCTAACCAATACCCTCTCGGACTCCCCCAAACGGGGATGTGATGAGCCAAGCGGAACCCAAAACTCCCTCCGTCCCCACAAAGGCAGCTTTTTCCACTTTGGTGCAATCTATCACCGGACGGGAGAAGCAACCAAAGCGTGACTCACTCTGCCAGGTGGGCCCATGTAGCCAACGCCACCCGCAGGAGCACCTCTGACCCATCAAACAAGAACGCGTCCCAGACGCGGAGAAAGGTCTCCTTGGGAAGACAGGAGGTGAAGAGGGTCAGGAACCACTGCATTGTGACCACACTGGTGAGCGGCAAAACACGTCTCCCTGTTTGGAAACAAAGTACAAGCTTGCCATTCAGTCATTCAATTCATTTCTGCAAGATCAAAATCATAAATTTGCAAGCTCAGGATCGTTTGGTAAGCAATAATAATAATAACAACAATCCTTGCATTCGATATAGAGGCTTATCCCAACGTCTCAAAACGCTTCACAGAGTACAGTGAATAGAATTTTTACATTCATATAAAAATGCCAGAATCTAAGCGGTACAAGTTCCCCTGTGGATTGTGCATCCTGCATTCCAAGGCGCAAAGGGTTGTGTCTGACTGGAAAAGACCATTGAGTTCCAATTAGCCTGTCCCAAAGTCCTTCACTGCACTCTCTCACTGACTCATAACTCTCAAATTATCTCTTAGCCATACAGCTGTTTAATTGCCCCTTTAGCTAAAAATCTCAAGACAGATCATGTTTGCTCTTTACTGCGATACACTGTTGATGGCTGTGATCTATCCATCAGTAACCCATCCCATCGTCAAAATTGTTTCGCTTAGTGGAAGGGACGTTGACTTTGCCCTCGAGTGGATATGTTTTTTGTCATGACAATATGAATATTTGTTTCGGCTTCAGCTGAAATATTTGACAGACCGAAAATTACTTTCCCTGAGGACAGAAAATTGGTTGTGATATAAAAAACATTTTTTTTTAAAAGTGACCAAAATAAATATTCTTTCCTCTCTGAACCCACCGTCATGGTCTTTGCCAGCTGCTCTGTAAAGGCCGTCCAGATGTTTTGCCAGCTCCGGGAGCTTGCGGTTGAACAGTTCGTGGAAGACGGCAATGTCAACCGTCAAAGCGCTGAGATCAGGAGCGAAGTAATTCTCCGGAAGCACTCTCTCCAGCAGATAAATCAGGACCTCAGAAAGGAATACAAGAAAGTTCTTCAGCATCTGATGGCCTAAATTTAAGGCGTTAGCAATTATTTGACACTCGTGATCGCTCTCTCCTCGATTCAAAAGGCACAGGGCGGCACTTTTGAACTCATCCCGTCTCTAATCTGACACGCCAGTCCAGTCCTGAGGATGGAGTTCCATTGTCAGAAACGTAGTCCTTCAGACGAGACATTAAGCTAAGGCCTGGTCTGCTTATTTAGCTGGACGTTAAAAGATCCCAAGGCACTCCTTGATTTGAAAAGAGATGGAAGTTTCTCATGGCGTCCTGGCCGTCAATCCCCCCCAACACCCACATAAACTCAACCATTTGCTTTATGGTTATCTGTGAGATATTACTGGCAATTGGCTACCACATTCAGCTGCAAAATGCACAGCAATTACTTTCCCTAAGGATGATGAAATTTTCCTGTGAAGTGTAGGGTTACAGCATGCAGTATTCTAAAGAGTATTAGGCTGAAATAGTACTCAAACAGTCTCCAAAGAATACAGACCTTGTTTAAACAGGTACCTTTCATTTCACTACAGAGCTACAATACTGTATTTCCCATTGGAAGCCGACTTGATAACCTGCGACAACTGAACAGAGGGATAATGGGGAAATAAGCCTGAGGCATTCCCATGCACCATCTAGTGGCCAGCTCATAATCAGCAAGGACTAAGGTCTAGGACCCACCCGTTCCTCTTGTCTAATGCTCTCTCAAGCTAGGTTCACAAGGTCAGCAGAGTGGTTCAGAAGAATGAGAAGACCCTTTGGCCCATTTGCTCTCCTCCTTGCAGAATATGCGCCCTAACATCCTCCCATCACAGCATCAATAGTCTAGCTTCCTGGGCTCAACCGCCCTTCCTGTGCCAGGTGTTAATTTCCGACACGACACATTTGGAGACCATTTGGCCCATTATTCGTGTCGGTGTTTGCTCGTCCATGAACCCGTCCATCCTAATACCCAATTCCCCACTCTTCCCTCATTCCCTCTTATACCCATTTCTGCAACAAGAGTTTCAATCCAGACCAGAAGGGGTCCGGATACCCTATTTGAGGAATGTCCGCTGGCCTCATAAGCAATAGTTTTGTGTTTCCTTCCAGTAACATGACATTTCCAGGTTATGGCAGGAGCGGGTAGGTCTGATGAAATTGAAGGAAGGAAGGGGTGAGGGGGGCCGGATGTGGTCCGCGGGCCGCCAGTCGGACCACCTTGGTCTAGACTATGAGTCTCAAAGTCACGACATTGGACTTGAACCCATAACTTTCTGACTCAGAGGCAGGAGTGCTACCAACTGAGCTCGGCTGACACTTAGACAACTGAGATGCCTGGAAATGGCTTTTTTTTAAACAAAAATCCATCTGCAAACAGTTTCAGGATTGAAAGCGAGGATGCTGCCTGCAACAGCCTGCGAGCAATCCTAATACAAATGAAGCCCCACTAAGCAGAAACTTAATTCGCCAAGCAATATTCTCCTCAAATCAGGATCAGTCTTCACCGAGATAAAAGCAAGCAATCTGAGACTCTCCAAAGCATACCACAACTCATTCCAAACCGAAGCACTCAACCGAAATGTGTTCAACACAAAAATCATTTGACTGTGAAGGGAACTGTGTCCCCGACATTTAGTAGTAGAGTGACTATATTTCATCCAGTGGGTATTTTGAGCAAAGCGTTTATCCTTGAACGGTTTATATCCTCCACTGATTTCTAAATGGATTTTAAAAATCCTATTCTGTATTGTAATGTTATGCGTGAATCAGCTGCGATATGCAGTGGGATTTGATGGGGAATAGTTTCCCGTCAAACGGAGGTTTGAACGAATGATAAAGTAAATGGTGTGTGCGTGTGTGTGTGTACACGCACTCGTGTGTGTGTGTGTGTGTGGGGGGGGTGGGGGTGGTTTGTATTTTGGGGTTCTGTACATTGTATGCACTGACATATATATTATCACATCAGAAATCTAATCTTTTATCAAAATTATATTCATCACAATAGTGATCCTTTTATTTTTTATTTTATTTATTTCACATCAGGAGGACACCCCAAAGCGCTTCACAGGATTTTATTGTGAAGTGGAGTGACTGTGTATTTGTATTTTTCCCCACCGCAGAGAGTGAGTATCAACGTGGGGCATCGGGTGAAAATCCGAACCGTGTCGCTATTTCCTTGGGAGAACATTCTGCTTTTAGCACCACCGCTCAAGTTCACGAGAAACCCGGTTTTACCAGACGACAGTTTAATGTAGTGTGTCTCAGTGAATGGGGAAAAGCTCCCAGCTGTCAGTAAACTGCCTGCCTCGTGGAGGCCGCGGACTGCAGTGAGTAGCAAGGAGCCCTCTCGGTTGCCGAGCACATCACGGGCAATTTCCCCACTCTGAATGATCAAAGCTTTTTAACTGCGCAACCCGTGAAGCGTATGAATAAAACATTACCCAGTCCATTCCCACAACTCCTGCATTTGCATTCGGAAGGAAGAAAAAATAAAATAAAAAACGGTTTCTGCGTTCGGTTCCTTGATGTGTGGATCCACACGCCTCACAGCAGATCAATGGAGCTAACGATTGGGAAATATTTTTTGCAGTTGGGTCACGATTTTCCCCCTTGAAGTGCACTACATAAAATGTGAGGGTTATTTAACTCGAGTCGCAGGCTTGAGCTGTTGAATAGATCTAGTGAGCGAACCTGCACCCTGACAGTGACCCTAATATCCACAGTCCCGCCACCACTGAATACTGCCCAACCTTCAGTTCATAGGAACACAGGCACAGGAGTAGGCCATTCAGCCCCTTGCGCCTGTTCCGCCATTCTATTAGATCATCGCTGATCTATGCCCGAAGCAATAAGGCAATATCGAAGTTAAAGAGAAATCTGTGGCGCTTTGAACATTGCATTTGATACAGCGCCTTATCACGTCATCAAGATGTCGCTTCATAGGATACACCGTTAGGTGAATTGACTGTGTATTTCGTGGGTGACACTTTAGGGTTGAACACAGCTCACCTTCAATGTGTCTCCTTCATCCCTTCCCATCACCTCCAGTATGAGTGCTACGGGCTCTATGAAAGCTCGACAGTACCCCACCGACTTGTTCCAGCGAGCGTAGGCCAGCAGGAGGCGCTTCACCACACTGCGAGAGGACTCCACATCTGGGCCCCAGGACACCTCACAGCTGGACTGCCGCAGGTCCTGGAAACAGAGCGCGAGTCAACGGCACGAATCACTCAAAAAAAAAAACATAATCAGTTTTCTTACTTTGGCCTCTCCCAACACGCAAACAACCAAAATGTACCTCCTAACTTTCCGTCAACACCAACACACGCATAAGACTTACGAGCCAAGCCTGCTGCCCCAGAAAGCCCCACATCGGGACATTGAGCTCACAGTCTCCAGGCTGATACTCCAATTCAGTGTTCGTTGCATTGTCGGAGGTGCTGTCCTTAAGAATGAGACCTTAAACCAATGTCCCAATTGCCGGCTTAGGTGGATGTTGAAGGGCCCTTGGATAGAGAAGTGAGTTTCTGCCCGGTCAGCAATCACTGGCCAACAATCCTCTGGTTGTTCAGCTATTTGTGGGATATTAACTTGCACAAATTAGTTGCTGCGTTTGCTTAAAACTATCCGGTCAGCAATTACCCGTGAACCGCTGTGAGCCAGTACAGTACAGCATCACAGGAGCTGTGTCAAACACGAGGATTATTATTAAGCTGACTTTGCTCTGGAGGGTGCAAATACCAGTTGAGAATTGATTGTGCAATGACTGCAGACTCCAGCTTCTTAGAGGGATCATTCAGAGCCGGAATGAGTTCAGCCCACATCGAGAGAAAAATATTCTGCGCAAACGGGGATTGGTTATCTCTCCCCCCCCCCAAAAAAAAGGTTGTCATTGGCATAGACGCAGTTTAAATTACATTCTTAGTTTAAACTGCGTCACGCGAGTGTGTGAGATGTGTTCCCTTAATGGAGCTGCAAGGAACATCCTAGTAGCCCAACATGAGGACCAGCTCCAGCCCTCTCCCCCACCCAACTCCCCCGAAATACTGTTACCACGGTAATCTTGAAGCACAATAGCCTCTTTAATGAATCCGGGACACATGAAAGGCACAGATCTTCTCATTCAAGCCCAGGGCTGCCCCTGACAGATAACTGAATCAGATTAAAAAGCTGTTAAACATCATTCTTAACACAGGTCACGTTGGAATAAAATGCAAAAACAAAAACTGAAAGCCCCCCCCTCCCACCCCCACCGTCCGCCCTCGAATAATATTCCCTAATATTAATTAGTCATTTGGCAGATCGCTTAACGGGGGGAATAATCCCTTCAAAACATAATAATAATTTGGTCACTCAATCCCCGACTGTTTGTGGGACGTTGCTCTGCGCATTTCGCTCACAAAGCACACAGTCACAACACTTTACAGCATATCCTGTGAAGCGCTTTGAGGCATCTCGACGACGCGTTAAAGCGCTACATCAAATGAAATAAGAATAATTATCATCATTCATTCCAAAAATCTCAGCCACCTCACGTTCACTGAAGAGGAACTGTTTATTGACGGGGCTGTGGTGCGGATAATGCACCAAACCCTGAACGTTAAAAAAAGGAGTTAGTCACTGGTGCCTCGTTTCCCCTCTCTCTCTCGCTCTATCCCATTTCTCGTGGAGTCACTGAGTCAAGCTCCATCTCAGAGACAGAGGCCTGGCAATTGTCACTCCATTGATAATGTTACCCCTCACCCACGTGGCATCACGAGAAGGGCAAAAGGAGAAAAAAAAAGCCTTAAGAAAGAGGCTCTCCTCGAATGTCCATCTCTTTTTTGATAAACCCTTCTCGTTCTCTTCTCGCCCGTTGTTAGTCTCTGTGCCACGAGCTTCTGTGAGGCAGCTGGGCTGCCCATCTGCTCTCAAATGCCTTCCAGTTGCTGCAAACGAGCAAGAGTGGCGCAAGCCAACCTCACTCGCTCTTTCCTGCTACGGGCAGCCAACCTCTTCAAGCTCAACATCTCTCCTGGATTCCCCTAATGGCCCAGCTTGGAACAACAATAACAACAACAACAACAACATGTTACATTTACAGAGGGACTTTCATGTCAGGAGGACGTCCCAAGGCCCTGGACGGTCTGGGATCCGCACCCGAGCTGATGGTCGGGATCAGGAGGGGTGGAGGGTGGGGAAAGGAAGCTCGTTGTGTGGGTCTGTAGCTCTCCTCCTGAAATGGAATACCAGCTTGGCCGTGCTTGGTTTGGGAGTTTTACTTCTTCGTTGTTGTTACTTCTTTATCGTCCAACATTACAATCGAGGAGCAAAGTCTGTTATTCAAGAGCTGGCGTTACTTCAGATTCAAATCTGATTAAATCAAACGTTTGGTAGCTATTTGCCCTTGAGAATAATTACCTTGTCTATCTGAACGCCCAGTGCATTCTCGTCCAGGTCACCTCTCCCGTTAAGACAAAGTTCCTTGCTCTTTGCCCAGTCAACGGAAATGCTCTGAAGGTAATGGTCAGCCAACGTTAGCCAGACCTGCGAAAAGGAGATGAAACAGCAGCCGTTTAACCAACGTGATTCACAGGATCACGGGAGGGGGTTCAGATGCAGAAAGCCCTTCGGCCAATTTGATCTCATCCTTTCAAAATAATAATAATCCTTGCATTTGGTATAAGCGTCTTCGAGACGTCTCAAAGGGCTTCACAGGATACACTGTACAGTGAAGTGACTGTGTATTTTGTGGGCGAAACGCGACAGCCAATTGCGCACAGCAGCGTCCCACAAACAGTGGTGGATTGAGTGACAGGTTTTATGACTCTCCAGCATTTCCTGTGAAGAGCTTTGAGTCCATTCCCCACCGACCCCCACCCCACCACCACCACCACCACCCAACGTGAAAGGCGCTGTATTAAATCTAAAGATCATCATTATTATTATTTTTTTTGCTGTTGAACATGGGTTGGTCAAATACCAATTGACCCGTCTCCCAGCCATGTGAACACCTTAATCCAGCTAACACACACAGTGAGACATACCTGTGACATCTCATTCCAATTTCACAAGTATCGCAGTTTTCGCTGTGTTTGTTTCGCACCACATTCTCCCAAGTTAATCTATCTAAATGCTAATGGTTCGCTGGAAACCGGCCAACAACCACCCAGGGACCATCAAACATCCCAGTCACTTCTAACCTTCTGATAATCTGGTGCATTTGACATTGTCGGGTCGTGAGATTTATTTCCTGAAACCCGCAGAAATAACCCTGACCTGTTTACAAGTTCCTGTTTTGTCTGAGTTGCAAGGAAAACAAATGATTTGTTTTCGTTGGCTCTAATTTGACCTTAGAATAATTGACATTCATAAAATGAATAGGGGGGGGGAACGACATTACATGCGGTTTTGCAAAACTGCGGAAAATTCCGTCTTTTGCGGGTTAAGTTTAGCCCACAAAATATACAGTCAATTCACTTCACAGTATATTCTGTGATGCGCTTTGAGACATCCCGAAGACGTGATGAGAAACTACACTGAATGCAAGGATTATTATAGATTATTGTTATTATAAATGCTGATTATCAGTCACTGATTATCTTCACGGCTTCAATCTTCGTTGTGATTTTTTTCAGTTTCTCAAAAAATCCCGGAAGGCCGGTTGAACCAGTCAAGGACGGTCTGAAGGATTTTGAACGGATAATTTTTTTAAGAACAGGTTTCCAATCTACAGATATAATTTGCTTAACCTTACTCGCTCTCTATCATTGGCGCGGGAGTGATTCTCTCCTGTTTGCCTTTCACAGGAAAATCCATTCCTTCCAGATCTGCTCAGTTACACAGCTTACCCGCTTCTCCAGACACACTTGAGTGTCCATGAATGAACAGCCCCCCGGCTGAGCCAAGCCTCGGACTTGTCCTCCGCCTCCACTTGAAAACTGCTCTCTCTGATCTGCACCTTTTTTTTTGTTGCTGTTAAAATTCTCCTCGAACCTCATCAGCGCTGCATTGCAGCTCGTGCGAGATTGTCGGGCATTTGTGAAATGCTTTCTGATTGCAATTGAATTGCTTGTGGTGGAGGGATGTGTGCATATGGGGGTGGGGTGGGGGGGGGGGGGGAACCACAACAAAAGCTGTCAACATGGCAATTAACTCGTTCAAAAATAGCTGGATCAGTATCTATTTGAGAGCAATAACTGGAGGATACAGTGCTACGTGCAGACTAGCGTGAATGCATGTTCCTCAACACACACTGATTTCTGTGCTCTAACCTCTCACTTTATCTCGTCCTCTGCTTTTGACCTTGGAGGTGCCCTGCTCTTTCAGGCTCAGTGCTTCCACTAGGTTTCTCAGTTTAAAAAAAAAGTGCTTTTTAAGTGCGTTTTCATCCCATTGTTAATTTGTAAATCATCTGTGGGTCGACGGGATAATCTAATTATTCACAAGGTCTGTACACACACATACACACACGCACACACACACAGACACACTTGCACACACAAGAAGCCACCAGAAGTGCAGCCTCTATTGACAGACTGGGGAAGATTGCCTTTGTCTCGTGCTTTAATCCCCAGCGAGACGTGGGGATGGTATCAGAACCGCGGATACATGGATGGATGGTTTGAGAGGCAGAGTGACTGAGGTACCAGTCCATCACTCGCTTACCCTATGCCTCCACTGTGTCGGAATCCCAGCCGGTAACCAAACAAGCGTACGGGAGGTCTCGAACCACTGCAAAACGGCACAGACAAGGTAAGAATTAGTGCCTGAATCAAGTTCCTCTTTTATTACTCGAAAAGACATGCATCACTTACAAAGCGCTCAGTCACTATATATAATAATAATCCTTGCATTTGATATAGAGCCTCATCACATCGTTGAGACGTCTTAAAAGCGCAGCTAACTGCGCACGGCAGTGTCACACAAACAGTCGTGGGTTGAGTGACCGAATTAGACCACTGCACTTCATAATAAAATCCTGTGATGAGCTTTGAGATGTCCTCCCGACCTGAAAGGCGCTATACAAATGTAATCTTGCTGTTGTTGTTGAAAGGCATTATATAAAATGCAAGGATTTTTATTATCATCATTATTGGTAACGTTACGTCAAAGATCCCGTTGAAATATTGCTGGGTTGATCCTTGCCGCAGGCACTAACACAGTGACTCAGTCTGTGTAGAGAGTGGGTTTCTGTCCGTTCTCTTTCCCCACATTATCAGTGCCGTGAGCAACCTGCCTAAAGAACTAGGATTTATATGAACAGGAATGGGCAGGTCCGTCAAAATCATTTCCCGCTCCCTTATTTTTACCGAAATGTAAGTTGTCACAAAATCTCCATGACCGAACAGCCGTCAAAATTACCGATAAAAGTCACTGGCTGCTTCGCTTCCATCCTTTTACTTCGAACCCATCAGATGAGGGGAATTCACTTTATTTTTTTTGTATCAGGATCCACCCGTGACATGCATTTGCCAGAAAATAAGATCGAGGCAACGTGGCAGCGAGTCTTTAATAGGATGAGACGGGCACGGATGATGTGGAGGATGAGAAGGCTATTTTAATTCAGGTGCGAATCGAACACTGAAAGCCAGAGATGGGAAGTCAATACCGTTTAATTCAGTCAGTTGACGCTAATTGAACATCGCTGGAACGGACATTCTCTCCTGAGATGAAATTCTGGGTTGCAATGAGCAGAGACAATAGGTTGGCCCCAGGCAGCCAAACCAACCCCTTATGGTATCACAACACAAAAACCTCAGATTCTTGATTTACGTGAAATGTCTAAACTGTGATCTGGACCCGGGGGCCATACAGTAAAACTCGCGTCAGTCCGATCTGTGTAAATCCTACAACCGCCCAAGTCCTACATCTGCCCAAGTCCAGTTCAAGAGTTTATATTCTATGCAAGTTTGACATAACTCACATTTTGGATAAGTCATATTAAATGTATGGTCCCAACTGATACGACTTACGTGAGGTTTACTGTATCTCTTTTGTGCTTCAACCTCAATCTCCATTGCATCAGTATGAATCTTCTCTGTTCCCACACTGGTCCCTCAGCCTGAAGCCGTTTGGGGTACATTTCGTAACCAACTCTTAACCAACTCCAACAGGAACTGAGCCTAGTTGGTCTTGAATTGATTTCCGTCACGGGGAAAATCAGGAGAAAAGGCTTTTTTTCCCCCTCTTCTCCTCGCCTGGATTCCAACCCAGATTCGAAAAGGTTAATTGACGAGAGTCACGCAAACTCTTTGTACCATTCCTTTCCCCAAGGAGTCGTATTTTATCAGCCGCCGCCTTACAGGGGATATGGTTTGTCTCCTCTTAACAGTTATAGGGTTACCATCATGCCTCAAAGGCTAAATGCCTTCCTTCAGTGTAATATCTAACTGGAAGCAGTTACTCAGAGAGCAGTACTCAATAATTGCTTTTGTTCTCTGATGTACAGTAACGTCCTAAAGGTATAATCTTCTCTCAGTGAGTTGTGCAACAGAGGAACACACTATAATCAGCAAGTCAGTCGCAAGGGCTGCTTGAATCTCGGAGTTTATAATGAACAAAGGCTAGCAGTGTTGGGAGTGGTCCAGAGAGTGTGGTGAATGGTGGTGGGGGGGGGGGTGCGGTGGGTGGTGGGTAGGGGGCATTATGATCGAGGGCCGTGGAGTAGTGGGCTACAGGCTATTGATCCTTATTCACCATGTAACGATTTCCAGTCTCAAACCAGGTGGTCAATGGAGAGATGCTACATAAGCGTAAGACGCCTCTGCATCGAGGAATAACGATCGGACAATGAGTGGATCGAGGTCAGCCTGGAACAGGACATACCTGACTTCCCCCCCCTCAAGATTGGGGTGGATCGTACCCGCAAGATGAACGACCTTAGACATTAGTCTGCGACATAGGGGGAAGAAAGCTTCCCTACAACAGGGAGCAAAAACATTGGATAACAGGGGTACTATACTGTAAACCTCACACAAGTCGTATCAGTTGGGAACACACATTTAATACGACTCACTCACAATACGGGTTAGAGTACAAACTTGCATAGTGTATAAACTCTTGAACGGAACTTGGGCGATTGTAGGATTTATACAGATCAGACTTATGCAAGTTTTTTACTGTATGTTAGTCAACTAACAGGACCACAAACCTGCTGAAATCCATTCTGGTCTGGCAGATATTCAATGTTCAGCTTCATTTGGGGATCAGCACCTGTTAAGATGGAAAAAACACATGGGTTGCAACCTTCAACGCCAAACACAACTCTGTTTAGAAAATAAGAGCAAACAATGAATATAATGATGCTATTTTGCTTCAACCACAGCTTCCAGCAGTGAGTTCCACACGCTCACCGTCCTCTGTAACGAAGAGTTTCCTCTGGAACTCCCTCTTAGACCTATCACTAGATCTAGGAAAAACGTTCCAAATCCCCAAAGAGCTTGATGCAAGAAATCCTTTACCTGTGATTGACTGAAGGGGAATACCTCGCAGGCCTGAGTTTCTTGTTCGGAAAAAACAGAATTGACGTGCGTGTGGGGGGGGGGTGGTGGTGGGGGGGGTGGGGGAAACACACACGAAAAAATGCAACGGAGGTGGTTTCTGATCCTCGGATTCTGATCATGTTTTGCTTCTGGTCTTCACTAATCGTTTAGATAACGAGCTCAGGGTCTCTTGTTATGTGGCGCATTGCCAGACAGGCACTGAGCAAGGAGTAATGGCTGGACTCCAAATTCCAAATCAATGTCAAGCTGACCTAAATAAAAACCTTCAACTCTACGGAGCCTGTGGCGTGTTCTAGTCAAAGGTGGAACTAAGAGATACATTACATTTCCCTTTTCTCAAACTGTCCAATCTTAGCCAGGATTACTCTCTGCCAATGTTGTATTGATGAACAGTCCTGACATAAGGATTGTGGGGTAGGAAGCTCACCTCAGCAGATTCACTTTAAATCCTTTTGGGTCTTTAACTCTGGCGCCAGGTTTGCCCTTGAAGTCTGTTACTGAGAAGGTTTCATTAAACCTCACATTTTATATAACGCCTTTCACGTCAGCAGGTCGTTTCAAAACGCTTTTAAGGACACATTGTGAAGTGTGTATTTCGTAAGCGAACACGGCAGCCGATTTGCACACTGTCCCACAGACAGTCATGAAGTGAGTGACCAATTATACCTGGGGGATTGTTGGTCAGGACACCAGGAGAAATACCCTTCTCTTTTTGAATAATGCAATGGGATCTATAACGTTCCCCTGAACAAGGTTTAACATCTCGTCTGAAGTACGGCACCTCGAACATGCTTAAAGGCTTTCCGAACCTTGACAATAACTGAAAGCACCGTTCAAGCTTTCCCGCTGCTTGTCCAGCTAGGACCACCCTACCCGCTTGCAGGGTGAACAGGAGCTGAGTGGGAAGGCTCCATGAGAAGAACTGCATCCTTTAGAGCATTTGATCACCCCGTGTCTCCCCCCCCCCCCCCCCCCAGCCCTCATAAAACATGTTGGTATGAGTTCCCGGTTTGTCACTGTTTGTCTGGAGAACATCGTGCATCGTTCCCTGGGATTGGATCGCTCTGTTTGTAGGGAAATCTGATCATGTTCTAGGTGCTGCACGTCACTGTGACACGGAGAGGATGAAATCTCCATGACAATGGCCTTTAGTGTTGTAGATTATTGTGGCCAAGTGTTGCCACTGGAATGAACAAAGCCATTAAAACAGTGGCTTTGGGATCTTTCTGGATTTGTGTTTCACAATCCAACTGCAACGATTTGTGATCAGGACTGTAACAAACCTCTTGACCTCTGAAGATCCATCAAAAAAAAAGGTCCCTCCCCTCCCTCAAAAAAAAGGCCCTCCGCCACTGTCAAGCACTCTGGGATGCCACCCTGAGTCCTTATACACTGTAAAAATACAAGTTGTTGTTGTTGCTCATTCCTGTGGGAAGGAGAGGGAGAGAAAAGGTGATAGATTCATCTCCCAAGTTCAACTCTAGCCTCTTCAGGGGCGGTTTTCTGGTCTTATTTCAAAACAACTCGATCAATCAAGATCTTGAAATGTCTTCTCGCTTTCTCGCTCTCTCTCTCCTCCCTTCGTAAACTGTGATTGTCCTTTTAATTTTATATAAAAAAATAACCATTATAATGTATAATGTCACTCAATCCACGATTGTTTGTGGGGACACTCCTGTGCGCATTTGGCTGCCGCGTTTCGCCCTCAAATATACAGTCCATTCTCTCTACGGTGTATCCTATGAAGCGCTTTGAGGCGTCTCAACGATGGGATAAGGCGCTATGTCAAATGCAACGATTATTATAATTATTATTATCTCCACACTTCACCAACCAACCACCAATCAAACATTAACACCAGAGGCTCTATTGGCATGAACCCAAAAGGATATGAAGGTGAGCACACAATCTCTTCATACCTCAGTGGGCAACCAAGGTGAAATCTTTCCTGTAATAGTGTATCCCAATACACCGGGGGCCAATAAAGTTTCCATGCAGGAGCACATCTTAGCAGTGGAACAACGTGAGGGGTGATGGAGGGGGAGGGGAGATCAAACTTAAAAAAATCTGTGCCAAGATATGCACATTAAAAAGAAACAGAATCTAGTATTAATAATCCGCATTACAGCAATTCCTTAACTTTCCCATATTAAAATCCGCCGTGGCTTTGTTTAAAATAGAACACTGATCGATTTTTTTCCCCCCACTGATAACTCAATTGAATATTACTCCCCCTCCCCACTCCCCCGCCCTCTCGCCCTCCCCAGCACGTTAGCACGCTTAGAAATGGCCGCGAAACACAGTCGATTCATTTTTGCGGTACATCCCGTGAAGCACTTTGAGGCGTCTCGGGGACGTGACAAGGCGCTATATCAAATGCAAGAATTATTACAGTGATTATTATTAAACAGAGAGAGACGGAGAGACAGAGAGACAGACAGGAGAGAGATGGAGAGCCATCACTTAACAATAGCCAGCACATCTTGTGCCAGTGAATCAAACAATTACCTGATTGTAAGGTGCAGAGCAAACGAGGTGCACTCCTGGAAATATACTTTCTTTTCTGCAGAACATTACTGATCACTGTGCCAAGACTGCTTTTTCTCTTTCTCAAGCACCTCCCAGCATGTCTGGCTGTGTTCAAATTTACTACAGGGACTTGATATTGGTTCATGCAGAACCAAATTGCAGCAACACACACACACACACAAAACACACAGACACCACCCCACCCACCCCCCCCCCCAAAAAAAAATCAACTCTTATTAACAGGATCTTTACAAATCACTGTGCTTTCTCAACCTCTAACCACAACCCCCCCCCACCCCACACACCCACCTCCTCTGCTTTCTCTCTCTTTTTTTTTGCAAAGTTACAAGTATTTTCTTGCAACCCCCTCCCTTCCATCCACCACAACGCAGAGAGAAAACAAACAGCTTCTTTCACTATATTCTGCAACGGTACATCGTGCAATACAGACAGTCAGTAAGAAATTGCCTGGTACTGAGCTCCACCTTCTATTTACCAATTGTGGTGGAGTGACATCAGACTGTATTAAGGCGGTGTTAAGACTTCGTTTGGTCAAGTCAGTGGTTGCATTGAGGATCAATCATGTCTTAGAGCTATTTTCTCCCACCTTCTCTCCCACCCACCCACCCACCCCCCCAAATTATTTCACCCATCTGATAATTTAACAGTTGCTCTTTGCTCAAGTGGCTGTGGATGCTTGTGGATGCTGACTGGGATGGGAGAGACACAGACACAGATACAGACACACACCCACCCACACACCCACCCACACACCCACAAAGACAACCTTATCACTGATCTGATTAATGTTCAGTCTCACTTCAAGTGTAAACTGATCTCAACCTCCCCCCCACCCCTGTGAAATGCTGCAAAGCTCCATCCAAGTCGCAGTTTCCCAGGCAAAAGGCAAGAATATTTTGTGTGTGTGTGTGTGTCTGTGTGTGTCTGTCTGTCTGTCTGTGTGGGTCTGGTTTTTTTTTGCAGTTTGCATTATCCCACGTTGCAAACACATAGGATCCGCAGTCAATTAATTATTCCGCAAACACCTTTCTCTCCCAACCAGACACACACACACACACACACCACCACCACCACCAACCAGTCTTTGTTCTATCTTAACTGAGATTGACATTGCATTGGTGCAGTTTCCTAATCATTAAGCAGCAGACAAGGGGAGATAAAGCATATAAAAAATAAGTGTAGCAATGAAACCAAGAGGTTCTAAGCATTTAATTGATGATTTTTTTTTAAAAAAATGTGGTTTGACAGAATGGAGAGCAAGGGGTTAATTGTGTTATGCAGGTTTCTTGCAATCCCGAGGAAAATGATTCAGAATGGTTTTTCTCTCTCTCTCTCGCTCTCTCTTTGCTCCCAAGATCTGTTCGTCCGCGGCGTATCTGCGGTGGTCAGTGCAATAGAAGGCGTTGGCATCAGGAATTAGGGTTCCATCAAAGAGGATTATGTTTGTACAGTGTGATTTACGCTGCAGTACAGCACCGCACCAACACACAGTCAATTATTCGCTTCACAGTACATTCTGTGAACCGCTTTGAGGCGTCTCGACGACGCGCGATAAGGTGCGATGTGATAATAACAACAATAATAATCCTTGCATTTGATATAGCGTCTTATCACGTCTTCGAGACGTCTCAAAGCTCCTCCTATATTGTAAAGTGATATATTTTGTGGGCGAAACGCGGCAGCCAATTGCGCACAGCAGTGTCCCACAAACAGCCGTGGATTTGAGTGACCAAATTATTCTTATTTTTTTCCGAAATCGAGGATTATTATTATTATTATTATTATTACTACACGTCAACTCTGCATTACTTCCCTGGGCTCGATAATAGCTGCCACCTACACATGGAAATTCCAGAGATAGATTGCTGGAACGGAACAGAATGCAATGCGTGCTCTCTCCCTAATACCGTACCGTCCCAGGCGCAGGTTGGGCAAGAGCCAAAGTTTTGGGGACCCCAGAATGTGCGTTGCGGTAACTGCCGGAAGTCTAACCGGTGCATATTGGCCGTGGATTCGAACGCAAAGTTAGGAATTTTGTGTTGGGTGTTGAGTGCATGCTTAGGCTTCTTTTGAGTTGTAACACAGCTGCCCGAGTTATCAAGTCGTCCTGTATTAATGATTAAACGTGAGTTAAATTGCAGTAAAACAAGCAGCAACTTAACAAGCATTGGAGTCAAATCCACCCAGAATAGTTGAGTGTATCGCTCACTCCGTCACTTCTCTCGAATAACACGTATCTCTGAAATCTTAGTGTCGATTCTGTTCAGTTTCTGCAATGCCTTAATTTATTTGTCCCGTTTTACGTACTGTAAATACATGGTAATAATAATCCTTGCATTTGATAGAGCTCCTTATCACGTCGTTGAGACGTCGCAAAAGAGCTTCACGGAATCTATTGTACAAAGGATTGACTCTTTATTTTGTGGGCAAAACGCGGCAGGGATTATTACCCCCGGAAAAAGGATCCATCGATCGACTAACAACTGGGCTTCTACTGACTGCTGGGTAAACAGAAGCGTGTGGGGTAAGGAAACTTCACCCTGGCCAGGAATCGAGCGAACTAGCCACTACCCTACAGGACTCCAGGACATAGAGCACAGAATAGACTTTGCTGCTACATATTGATCACGAATTGGGATACAGGATTCACTCTGCAATCAATAAAACTGATTCCAATATCCAGTGAATCTGAGACAAAGGCTTTTTCTGTTGGATACACACACTAGTGGCCAGATGTGTGAAGAGCCATCAAAAAAAAACCTGCAAAGAGGAAAGAGGGGAGTGTAGGGTGTGGGGGGTGGGGGGGGGTCACTATTCACACTTATATTCACAACCAAAGTGAAGTAAAAACCAAAGCAGACCTTGTAGAGTGAGGCAGAAACCTTGTACAGGGGAATAATTCATTAAAATCATCCCGTGATCAGGTTAAGTCCGTAACTGTTGTAAATGTGTCATCTTTTGACCCTGAGATAAGATCCAGCAGAGGGAGCACATGAAGCCCTCCAACTCAAGAGGATCATCCGTTCAATAGAAACTCTTAAGACTGTGTGTCGCCTACAATACACACAGTCACTGCACTTTACAGTAAATCCTGTGAAGCGCTTTGAGACGTCCTCCCGATGCGAAAAGCGCCGTATCAAATGTAAAAGATTATTATGACAAAGCACTTCAGGATACTGCTGGGATCTAGCGATAGAAAGAGAGGGAGGGAGGGAGGGAGGGAGAGAGATGGACACGCCAGGTCTCAGGACAGTTGAGCAAGGTTGGTTACATCACGTGTTACATCAAACCCACACCAAGTTGTTCACCGGATACTTAACAAACGAAAACAAAATGCCGTTTATTGGATGGATTTCAGCTTGAGTTTTGAAGCGCCTCTGGAGACTTCGGGTCCCGATATAGCTTTGCTATATTTTGACACTTAATACATTCCTGCATTCGGCAGCCCAATATCCGTTCCAACTTCTTTTCTGGAGGCAAAGCTGCTTTGCACAACGTTTGATGAAAGCTCGTTTTGCAAACAGACTGCTTGGCATTCTCATTCAGTAGTTACTTAATTGGATTTAGGCAAACCTAATTGAAATAGGGGATGAACAATACCAGAACCCTAAACCTTAATTGAAAGTCAGTTTCTTTGTTGATGCCTTTGCTAGACACCATTGTGGTCTGTTTTAACTACCATTTGAAATGTATATTTCAATTTAACTTCATTAAATGAAATGTTCCTTAGATATTTATAAGCGCACTGGGACCATATCATGAAAATCAATGTTATTTACAGTTTATAATCAGCGTTGTGGTTACTTATAACCAGGACAAATTCACATTTGGAAAATGGAGCAGAATAAGACGTAGCACACAGCAAAGCAACAACAACAACAAATTACATGTGTCACGACCCTTTCATGGAGGGAGGACATCCCAAGGCATTGGACAGTCGGGGATTTGGACCCGAGCTGGGGTTTGGGATCAGGAGGGGTGGAGGGAAGGTAGGGGTAGGTGGGTGACCAAAGGCACAGTCGAAGAGGAGGGTCTTGAGACGTGCTTTGAAGGAGGCAATCGAGGGAGCGAGGCGAAGGGACCATAAGATGAATGAGAGCAATGAGCAGATTAAGCCACTTTCGAGGACATGGCTTTGATTTTCAGGGATATTTCTAATTTTTGTTTAACCACAGAACATGCAAGCTGAAGCTTTCACCACAGCACAATTGGGAAAAATACATCAGGCTTTTAATTCTCCCTTGTATTGATTTCCTGGAGTCTGCTATTCCTTTGGCCGACCATGAAAGTTAACTGGATATTCATTTCCACAGACACTGTGTCCATGGTACATTAACAGCATATTAACAACATGTTTCAGGCAGTTTAGCTGCTGCTTAGAGCAAACACACCCACAAAAACAGTCAATTCACTTTACCGTATATTCTGTGAAGCGCTTTGAGACGTCGTGGCGATGTGATGAGGCGCTACATCAAATTCAAGTTGTATTATTATTATTATTATTATTATCCTGCCCTCTCGCTGACTTTTCCAGGGTTACCGAACTGTGATGAGGAACTTGGGTGGTGTGGTGAGTTGATTCATAGCACTCAGTCACGTCGCACATAAATGACCGGCGATAGAGACACAATACTGTACATCCACACGTAAAGTACTGTACGTTACAAGATGTTCTCGTGATGCTAAAAGCATAGAATCGGGACCCAGATGTTTCAAACTCTTTATATACTTAATTCCTTACAAAAATAGCTCAAAGTGACTTTGAAACAGATTCCTGCCGTGTTCACATAGGACACATCACAACTCCTACACAAACTTTTATTTAACACATTGTAAAAATTTGCCAGATTTGCCAACTTTACGTAGAGTAACTCAATGAATTGTTAGCGTTCCCCCACATATTTGAGAGACATAACCCAGACAGCAATTTGAATAACAGAAACAAACGAAAAAATTACTTTTTTTAAAAAAAAAACAAATATTTTGTTAGTTTAAATTGTTGCACGAGACTTTTTACTTAAAAAAAAAGATCCCTTTAATCCTTGAATTGTACGACTTTTAAAAAAATCCTGAAAATAATTATTCCTGTAACGCAGATGCAATAAATTCAATAGATTTGTACAGGATAAAGGGTTTGTTCTTAAAATCTTCTTGCTTTTAGACATGTACGTTTTGTAAAATAAATTAAAAACCACAACATACACATATACATCTCTGCTATTTAAGTTCAATAGCTTCTTGCTAAAATTTATACATGCAGTGACTGTACAACGCTGGAATTATAAAATAAGCAAAAGGCATCGCCCGCACTAGATACAGGGGAGGAAATTCGACCTGGGTTCAGATTCACTCTGTTCTTCTAGCATTTTTGGAGCCTTTCAGAGTTTTATCCGGGGGTAATAATTCCTTGAAAAAAATATTTTTAAAAAATAATAATTTGGTCACTCAATCCACGGCTGTTTGTGGGGACGCTGCCGTGCGCAATTGGCCGCCGCCTTTCGCCCGCCAAACATACAGTCAATTCACGTCACAGTATATTCTGCGAAATGTTTTGAGCCGTCTCGAAGACGCAATAAGGAGCTACGTCAAAGGTAAGGATTAGTATCGCTATCGTTACCCAGAATTTGGCGAATTGTTGTATTCAATCTCAACTTTGTGGAGTATGCTTTTTCCTCTAACTTCTTGGAGAGTAACAAAGGCAAATCCGTTTCAAAATTAAAGCTGGGTTTAAAATACTTTCTAGACGCTCAGAAATGCTGCAGAGTAGATCTCGGCTCAGGTGGAATTTCTCGATGACTCAACCGCGCTGACAGTATCTGAGGCTCTATTGCCAAAATGGCAAGGCTCCACTAGTTTAATTCTTTTTATAGTAAGCAGGCAAGCTGTCTGCCTCAGCATCTGTACTAAACGCCCATTCATAACCTCACCACATCATGCCAACAGCCAGTTTGAATGCAGGTTGCGGCATTCCCCTTAACTAAGGACACTACGGATTGTGCCAGTAATACGTCTGTAATGGTCTTAGCCGATTGCTCCGGGTTGAAAATTGAGGGTCTTTAAGAGGGAAAAAAAGAATATTAAGTGGATACTTAAGTCGCAAAACTCAGAAACTGAATAAGTGCATTAAACCGAACATCTACCGAAAAAAAGGTCCATTACTGCAATAATTACTACACTATATCAAGGTTATAATAGGGCAGGAATGGAAGAGACGTGAGGAGCAGGGAAGCATTCTGAACTAAGCTATCGATTTCCTCTCCCAACACTCGCTCACTCATGCACGACATTCACAAAACTCAGTCCATGTTTGGCCATTCCTATTTTTTTAACAGTTATGATTATTTTCGTAAAAATGTTTTTCTTCTCAACAAAGTGTGGGACGTTAATCATCTGGGAAGAAGGGAACATGTTCCAGTTCGGGTTATCCTGGACCAGGACAAGCAAGTGCCTAGACTCCGTCCAGTGTGAAGGGTACTATATAAATGCAAGTTGTTGTTGCCGAGGGGCTGAAGGCACCGCACAGTGTATAAGCTTGGTGCCAATGGTTAGGAGTCAGCTTCCGATTAGTGCACACAGCCACTGACCCTGGGGCAACGCTCTCTAAACTCTTTGTGTAAACCACTTGCATCCAGGAGATGGAGATGCCATTTTCACCCCATCCGTTTGGATTGAATGCAGATCCAGGTAGCTGTCACTGCATCGCCTACCCCTTTCAGCACGTGTTCTTGTCACCCAGTTGGCGGTTGAATGAAAATAAACTGGAAATAAAGGGGAGGGGAGGTGTTTCAGGGACAGAATGGTGCCGAGCTCAGGTCACAGAAATGTAGGCAACAGGCTTCCTTGTTTCTCGCCCCTCACCACCACCCCCCCCAAACCTCCCCCACCTTCCTCTCTGACACCTCCACCCTTCTCTCTTCCCTCTGCCTCTGTTCCGAACGCACAGCGCCTTGGGACGTCCTCCCGATGTGAAGAGCTCGGTACGAATGTAATTTGTTGTTGCCGTTGTTGACAAAAAACACTGGAGAAATCGATGCGATCTTATTTATCGAAGTGCTTCCTCAATTCCTCCTACGAGTCGTGTCGTGGTTGAGATAAATATCTGAAGTACAGGGGCTCCTTTCAAGAAGGCAGAATCTTGTCTGAGAAAACAAAATGAACTCATGGTGGTATGTTGATCAACGCAGGAATATTCATCCCTCGGATCTTCACACAGAAGTGGGTGCAGCATGCACCGACAGCAAAGTGCTGGCAATAGTCTCTACCCTGAAATTCTGAACCAACAGTTCTCAAAGTATTCAGTGAAATCCTTCAAGCAATGAATGAATGGATAGACTTTTCAATTTCCGAGACCGGACACTAGTTTCTACAGTGTAACAATTCTGTGCGTGTGCATGTGTGTGTGTGTGTGTGTGTGTGCTTGTGTGTGTCTGTGCATGTGTGTGTGTGTGTATGGTCTGTCCGTGTGCGCTTGTGTGTGTTTGTATGTGTGTGTGTGTCTCTTTGAACCGAAATGTTTCTTTGCAATTTCACCTTTGCAATTTGAAACACATCAGTGCCTAAAAGATGAATATCTTTACCCTTCTCCCTCCGCCCTCCCTCAAACCTTTTTGTCCCGTTAAATAAAGAAAAATAACACAAAAAAAAGCAGCTGCAACAGCTGGAATTCGATCAGTCCAGAGAATGGCACCTCCCTGCGGGCTGCGAGTCGTGTCTTTTTTTCTTCCTCTTGCACAGGCGGTTTTGCTGTCGCTCGTCCTGGGAGTGGCACACATCTCCCTCGTCTCGAGGCCGCCCCGCCCAAGTATCCCGAGCGGCGTCCGAAGAAAAAATGTCTCACGGCGTCTGGATCTCGGGGGAGTCCGGTTAACCCTGCTTCCCGCCTACCTTCAGGGCCTCCTCCAACTTCTGACGGAACTTGACGTATCTTTGCTTCACCTGCTGCACTCGCTCCTGTTCCTCCTTTTCCAGTATGCGGAGGAAGTTTTGCAACTCGGGTACGCTGAAGGCTCCCCACTGCAGGAATGCACAGGCAATTCACTTTTCACAGCGCGTTCCGGGAAGGGCTTCGAGACGTCTCGGCTATCAAACGCGAGGATTGCTATCGGTATTTCAATTTTTTTTCGATTCGCCGACAGAACGCGCAGAGTCAATTAATAATAATAATAATAATAATCCTTGCATTTGATACAGCGCTTTTCACGTCGGGAGGACGTCCCAAAGCGCTTCGCAGAACACACTGTAAAGTGAATTGACTGTATACATTTGTGGGCGAACACGGCAGCCAATTGCGCACAGCAATGTCCCACGAACAGTCGTGGATTGAAAATGACCAATTGACTTCGCGGTGTATTCTGCGAAGGGCTTTGAGACGTCTCGACGACGTGATAAGACGCCGTATCAAATGCAAGGATTATTATTATTATTAATCCGATAAACGCTCTGGGACGCTACCCTGTGTGTAGGGGTGCTATATGAGCGCAAATTCTTGTTGCATTATATTTAAAAATGGTTAGGTTTGACCCCCGTGCTCGAGATTTGGAGGAAGGGAGATCGGAACGGTTTCTAAAATAACATTGCAACGTTGCATTTAGGTTAACCGGACACATTTCAGAGTAAAGTAACAGCGTAAAATAAGCAGGCTCTGTGGGTTTCTGATGGAAAATCGGCGATTTTGGGTCAGAAAGACCTGCTTATCGCTGCATTTCGCTGAGGTTCTCACTTCTCACGCGCACGCAACGTACCTCCACTTCCCCGGTCTCGTTCTCCTTCAGCACAAAACTCGAGGAGTCTGTCTCCGGCCCAGCCAACAGACGGATTAACAGGGGATACTCACATTCTTTGAGTCTCTGCAGGACCGCTGGAGGAAACAGACAACAGAGTTGAAAGTGCTGCGAGTTATATTTACGATACACACACACACACAGAGCGTGAGAGAGAGAGAGAATCCTTACATTTGATACAGCGCTCTGCCATGCGGTCGAGATGTTTCGAAGCGCCTCGCAAGATAAGACACAAAGCTGCAAAGTGGAGTGACTGTACATTTTGCGGCCAAACCCGGCAGGGCAGGGAACAGGAGGGAGCGTCACCTTTAGACGACGCGATCCCGAGTCCCTCGACGTGAAACCCACAACTTTCGGAGGAGACTCAAGATGCGGGGTCACTCGCGCCCGGCGATGTTCCCCACCCCCCACCACCCCACACCCCAAAACAAGATAATTACCCTTCCCGTCCTGCTTGGACTGGTAGAACAGCGCGAACTTCTGCGGGTTGTCGATGACCATGAACTTCTTCAGCAGGCCCACAATCACCTCGCTGACCGTGGTGCGGCTGCTGATGTGCAGCTGCTTGTCAGCATCCAGCGGCAGGTAGAAGGAGGTCCGCTTGTCTGTGATCTCCGCCGGGTTCACCTCCTTCAGCACGTCGTAGATGGACTGCGGCCTGATGCCCGCGGGCACGGTGACCGGGCGGCGCAGCTTGATGTGGACCTTCACAAACCCGGTGTAGGAGCCGTCCGGGCTCTGCGCAAAGGAAGTAATCAAAAACGACTGCTTAATTAACGGCAGCGAAGTCCGCTGAGAGACAACCGGCACCTTCGAACTGTTTGGAGAACGAGGGAATAAGATGTAAACCCGCTGACGGCTCCCTACGTCCTGGGGCCTGCACTTCTTAACCTGAATCGATTTACTTTGCAGTGGATGTGAACAATAATAATACTAATCTTTGCGTTTGATACAGAGCCTGATCACGTCGTTGAGACGTCTCAACGCGCTTCACAGGATGCGCTGTAAAGCGAATTCATCGACCGTATATTTTGGGGGCGAGACGCGAACAGGGACATGTGGGTGAACAACGGTTAGCTCTCCGAGCTGAGCTGTCTCGGGAGATTAACCCACTTAAAGTGGAACAAATTCCTATCGGCGGTCCAATTGGCGGCACCTTTGTCTTCATTGACCTTCTCGGAAGCTCTTCTGCAACAATAACAATTTGATATTTGTGCGCGTCTCTGAGGGCAGCCCAACTGCTAGCCTTAACTTGTCAACAGAAAGATAATAAAACTCTTGTTGGTAACGCAAACGCTTGTCGTCAGAGAGTGGCGCACTTTGGACCTTGGCAAACGCGGAGCCCACGTGGATGGCGATGTCTACAACACAGGCTTGGTGTCGGTCTTGCTTCGACCCTGTTCATGTCTGATGCGAGACACACAAACCCATCTAACTAAAGACAGGAGAAAAAGCAATTGCCATCATAACAGCAATCATAATCCTTACACTTGATATCGTGCCTTGGGAGGACATCTCCAAGTGAGTCACTGTAAAGCGGAGTGACTGTCTACTTTGTGGACGAACACAGCGGCCAATTTGCACCGAGCCCTGACTGTCGAGCGAATTGCCTGCATATTCCGTGGGCGCAACGCGGCAGCCAATTGCGCGCGGATGCGTTCTCCGCAAACAGTCGTGAGTAGCCTGGTGTGGAGAATGGAAACTGGGCTCGAGTTCCCATTCAGACTCTTTTCCCAGTGTTTGTGTTTGCGTTGGAAATACCCTGACGCTGCAATTCTACTCAATAGCTTCAATAGCTTTGAATAGTCAGCAATAGTCTCAAGTGTTCCACAATGACAGGCATTTGGTGGCTGAACCGTCAACTACAGCATTGAATTCCACACGTGCCGAAAATAGCATTCAGCAGTTTGGGGCCTGAATACCACCTGGATCTCTTACTCGGTCTGGGTTTCATTAAACAATAAACAGAAAAGCTTCCTCCGAGTGTTGTTCTGTGGCTTAACACACCTGAAGGGTTCTTACGATGTTCTCGAGTCAGAAATTAAGAATGCAGCTTGTGTATTTTATAGTCATTTAAACCCCGAGCGAGTCTTACAGTTTGGTTACACATAATTCAAGGCAGATTTCCTCCCCACTCTCTCTCTCTCTCTCTCTCTCTCGCGCTCCCCCATTCAAATCCACTTTGCCATTCACATTTACTCTGCTCCCCAATTGGTAGCCGTGTTTTCAAGCCACTAAGCCCTGAAACTCGGGAACACTCTTCCTCTATTCCTCCTCCTTGCCCCTTCCTTCCCCATCTTCCTTCCCCTTCCTCGTCGACCGAGCCTACGGTCATCTCCTCTCTCCCCCGCTGGCTTGAGGTTGTGTTCCACTACTGTCCAGTGCTCTGGGACCCTCCCCTGCGTGAAGGGCGCGATATAAATGCAAGTTGTCGTTGTTGATTTAAAAGGGCCTTAGGATCGGGTCCTTCCAGGATTCTGACCACTGAGATTATTTGAACTCAATTGAATATAAAACACTTTAGGTTTTATGTAGTAGCGTCTTTCGTGTCAGGAGGATGTCTCGAAGCAATCGGTAAAATTAAAGAACACTCACCAAACGCATCCCAAAGCAAGTCTTAACCTTCCCATTGTATTCCTCGACTTTCTGCTTAATCTCCTCTTGCGTGAGAACTGTGGGTTTCTTCTCCACCTCTTTTTCCACATCCTGGAACATGAAGGAACAAACCTCTGTTTAAAGGGGGTCCTCTCAATCTTTTCACATCTCCTCAAATGATATACCAAACGTAAGGATGATGATTATCATTAATGATCAATGGTGGTGCAGCAACTTCAGCAACAGAACAAGCCACAAAGATATCAACGCTATAAATATAAATGCAAGTTATTGTTGCAAAATATTGGTGGCTTGGTGGGTAAATACAACACCCGATGAGACATGGAGTCACATGGACCAGGAGTGTCTCAGATTCGATCCTGCTCTGGGCTGAAATAGTCACTCTGCCCTGCTAACAGCAACTGGCCTCAGCATCACTAAGGTAGCATGGGCGGGGAGGAAAATCAGTCATGGATTCAACCTCCTGATGACCACCTTTGGGGCTTTGTCTAAGCCTAGGATTGGGGTCAGCTTAGTTGTGATGGCTCTTTAGTCAACCATTCAACGGACATACATTGTCAAGGGATAAACAAGAGCAAATTACACATACACAGCGCCTTTCACAATGGGAGGACATCCCAAAGCGTTGGTCAGTCAAGGATTTGGATCTGAGCTGAGGGTTAGGATCAGGAGGGGTGAAGGACAGGGAAGGTAGGGGGTAGGAGGGTGACCAAAGGCACGGTCGAAGAGGAGGGTTTTGAGACGTGCCTTGAAGGAGGCAAGAATGGTGAAAGAACGAGAAAGCCACCAAGTCTTTTGTCTCTTTGCGGAAGGGAGGAAACAAAAATGGAAAAGCGCAAGGCAAATGGGAACAAAAACCCAGCGGGAAGAATTTCCTATACGTTATCCTTGAACCCTAAATATAAAATACGGTGTTACAAATTAATTACATGTTTTTCGTCATTAAAGTATCATCTGGTAATGTATAGAGAGAGACGCACAACAGCTGTTTCCTATTAACAAAGCTCTCTCGAATGTGCACCTTCCAAAATAGACACTCGACAAATATAGAAACAGGCGTTAGACTGAAGACATTTGGCAGGTGATGTTCGATGAACAGGGCTAACCCTCTGCTCAGTTTATTCTTGCCCTGGAATACTGCGGACCGGCCTGGCTTAGGAATCGGACTACCGAGACCACCACAGAAGGCTGGCTCGATACTGACATTCCATTGCCAGGCATGTCACCTTGGAGCCAGTTCAGCTCCAAGGAGAATCCACTTAAACATAATGTTAACGTAGAGGGTATTTGGGAAGATAGTTCCAGAGGGTGAGGGCAAAATGGCAGAGCGGGTGGCGGAGGGGTTGGAGGGCGTGAAGCTGGTCAGAGTTGGTGAAGAGGAGAAAGGGCCTGGGGCGTTTTCAATGCATTCAAAGGCTCCTAATGTCATCTCTTTGTCTCCCTCAAACGATAATGAAGGTCTACAAAACAGGAAATAGGTTGTCGCAGTTAAGAAACTGACTAACGTCTGCCACTCGATGTTTATAATGAAATGAGTGTAAAGAGGAACTGGAAGCCCATCGAGGCTAGGCTCCCCTGATGGTTCATTTAGTGAAGTGAAGGCACAAGCCAGTTTCAATTCAGTCCTCGGTTTCACTGGGTTATCGAGTCAGTTGATCTCGACCTGGGAATGGGTGGGGTGCTACAACCTGCCTCAGCAACTTGAACCTACGGAAGAGAAACAAACAAACAGACTTTCTGTTTGACTCCAACCCACTGACGCCTCCTGAACAACTCTTGTGTGTGTGTTGGATAAGAGGTTGGATAAGAGCAGTTTTTGGTGCCCATCAATGAAGCTGTCGATGTTGACTTTTCATTTGTTCTGACTAACCTGTCTTGACTTGTCACTACCCCTTAAGTCAATTAATTTTACAGCGGAATTCAATGCATTCAATAAACAATGGATATTCCCCAAATATCATTTTATGCAATACTATAAATGCAGCAAACTTCTGATAACTCCAACCCGTCTTAAAACTTGTCCCTATCCTTAAGTCATCAATTATGCTCTCAATATCCTGGCCGCATTTATTTATGCAACGTAAACTCCTCATAACTCATCGCTCCGCAAGGGCTCAGTGACAAGTTATCCAGAGTAAATCGTCGCTATCAATACATAAATAAATGGGCCTGGATGTTGACAACACAATGACTTGGTAGTGACAAGTTAAGCCATGGTTGAGCTACCAAATACAGTCGAGTTACTGTATTTATCCATATGCTTAACTCGCCACTCCGGAAAACTCATCACTGAGCCCTTTCGCCTTGGAGGGACGAGTTATCAGAGGTTCACTATATACTGGACATTTCGTAATTAACGTGGCTCATTAACGGCACACTCGCCTCTGAGTCAGAATTAATTGCTCTGAGCCCAGCAATCAATCTTATTCAGCGCATTCAATAAACAATTGAACGTACAGACGGTTGGTTGGAATTGAGAGCCATCTATCCGTTTTACGATTCCGCTTAATGTACGTCCTGAACACTCGAAATAGGATTTTGAAAGAATAGCCGTGCGAGAGCGGTTCATTTAGTGAAGTGAAGGCACCAGCCAGGGATTAACTGACTCGATAAAACCCAGTGAAACTGTCTGTGAGACTCAAACCCTGTGTGAGTTACAATCAATCTGGATAGATTGCCAAGGCGCAGCTGCCGATGTCGCTTGGTCAGCAAATGAGAGCAGCAAAGCCACCGCAGAGATGCACATGCAGGTTTTTCCCACCAGTCTCTGGAGTCTTGTAGGGTTCCCCTTCGTTTTTTTTGGTGGGTGGGAGTGGGGGGTCAGCCGGGTATCTGACACACGCGGAAACCCGTCACCGTGCTTAAGAGTCTCCAAACCAAACTGAGGATTCCATGCGTCCCACCTACACATGGGAATCCCAGAGATAGATTGTCGGAATGGAAGGTTGCACTCTCTCCTACTTCTGGAAAGTACGAGGCTCAGGTCGGCAAGAGCCAAGGCTTGGAGGGACCCCAGAGTATGCGTTGGGGTAAGTGCTGGAGTCCAACCAGCTAAAACCGCATAGCTTGCTATTGACATCGCTGTCTGGTAAGCTTTCCCGCTGCTTGTACAGCTAGGACCACCCTACCAGTTAGGGCTTTGTCTTGCGTGGTTATTAGGAGCTGATTGGGATAACAACAACAACGACTTCCACTTATATAGTGCCCTCCACCCAGGGTAGTGTCTCAGAGCACTTGTAACATAAGACATTGGAACAAATAACTCTTAAAGCTCTTTGCTGTGGTGTGTGCTGCCAAGTTGTGATGAGGGACATCTTTACCTTTGCATGAGTAACAAAGTGACAGCAGCCAGCATTTGGTAATGTGAGAATCAGACCTACATTTGTCTTTGCTCTAGACAAACAGAAAGGTTTGTGTGACCCGAGGAAAATCTCTCTGGGTAGGGCTACATTTCACTCGCCATTATCTCACATTTGCTGCACAGGGAGACCCAAGAACATTGACCGAATTGCCAAGCAACAGCTGCTATGAATTCTCCCTGGCAAAAGGCTATTGAAAAGCCGAAGGATATCAGAGGAAAAAGGCCCGGCATCAACCGTATTGCACTTACCATATAATGTACGTTCTTCTACAGAATACACAGTCACTACATTTTACAGTGTATCCTGCGATGCGCTATGAGACATCCTCCCGACATGAAAAGGCGCTGTATCAAATGTAAGAATTATTATTATTACGATGAGGCTCAGTATATATATCAGTATTCCTATAAAATCTAAGTGCAGAATTTGATTTTACAAGAAGGGAGCGGATCAGTATCGGTTGGTATTTTTATCTCAACGCAGTCATTTATTTATCTTTAACCAAGAACTTGTCATTTATCTATCTTAACAGCAAATATCCATGAGGCTTGTCTGGCAGTATAGGATGTACGTACAGTGGTTTTCTCTGTCACGGATAGTGAGACTAAGCCAGACCACTTGCTGTATTTGTAGAAACGTTTGCAGCCCGGAGTTGTCAGTGAGGACAGTGGTAAATTCCTCTGTTTGCCAACAGTTGTTGAGGCGGTTTGAATAGCGAACATGCCTCGCATTCTGTGCCACTGCAACGGACCAACGGAGCCTGGATTTCGTGGACATAGACAAGAAATAACAAGCCACAACAGTCGCAGGTTTGAAAAGGAATGCAATTCCTAGAGAATGTTTTTTCCTCGGAATCCTATTGAGTGAAAAGTGGAGTCGTTTTTCATTTCAGGGGATTCTGCATTTTTTTCTCTCCAGAAATTGTATTTAATTCCACTTCTGGTCTAATAACTTGTTATTTTCGAATCAATTTCAGAATGATGGCTTGTCGAGAAGATGAAGACTGCAGTTGACGTTCAGGCCCATTGCTAAACGTTAACCATAGCTACCGATGCAAGAGGATGGAGTTTCTCTCCTGGCCAACAATTCCCCCAAATAAAACTGGTCATTCATTCCATGGCTGTTTGTGGGACACTGCCGTGCGCACACTGGCTGCCGCGTTTCACCCACAACATACACAGTCAATCCACTTTAGAGCGTATCCTGAGCAGCGCTTTGAGACGTCTCAATGACGTGATAAGGGGTGATATCAAATGCAAGGATTGTAGGATTAAACTGAGATGAAACTAGTCAACCTGAGGTCCTGATCAAGTCAAGCTGTTGCTCCCCAGTAGATCTTTTGTGCGTTAATAAGTGGTTAGAAAGGGTGCTTCGTAACACATAGAGAGGTGTAAAAAAAGAACAGAGTGACTCTCATCTTCTCTTCCTGTCACAGGATGCAGTCTCGCCAAAGTCTCTTGCTGTGTACCTTTATCTCCTTATCTCGCCGTGCTGTAACTCAGTGTTGAAGCCTGACTGCAGTGACAACAGATGAGCAGCCAGATAGCAAAAAGAAAAGACCATTTAACCTGTCTTGCTATTCCACTATATCCTAACAGATCTTTAAATTCAATTTCCCTGCAATTTTTATTTGGTTTCCCCCTCCCATTTTGTTATTAAATGGATATAAACCAACCCCCCACCCCCACCCCCCCCATCACGCACACACAATTCATCAGTTCAACACAA